GTTACCATGGCAACAATGAGAGTTATTTTTAGGGTGATATTGACATATATTGTACTGTAACTTCAAATACTTTATTGTTTTTCTTGTGTGGTTGATTGAGTTTGATCATATAACCCATATCATTGGTGAATAATGAGCGTTTTCAGCATTTAAATTGTATTTCAAATGTACCCATGGTTACCAATAACTTAGAGATATATTCTAAATAGTTTTTATGGCATAATGGCAAAGGGTTTTGATGTTTTTGTGAGAGTTGTTTGTTTGATTTTCTTAGTCTTTTTAAAGGCTCAATAAAGATTTAGCTGAAAACCTTAAACTTTTCCGGTTGTTAGCATGGCAACCAAGGCACATAGCAACCAAAGAACAAGGTTCACTTAGGGCCTTTTTTGGCCCTGTGAATTTCAGAAAAACTGAAATTGCTTGGTTTTAGTTGACAATGCATTAAATATCATTTAGATCTTTGGTGACTGCGTATCTATAAAAAATGATGTAATTTTCTAGCTAGTCAATGCATTATGACGTCATGAAATGCGTCATTTTCCTCATATCCTGAAAAATTCTACAAAAACAGTCAATTTTTAAAGCTATTTTTCGATATTTAATATAGAGTGCAACCTCTGATCTAAAATATGCAACTATTAAATGATAGAACTATTTCTGAGGATTACAAAACATGCTTTATTTTTTAGATCAGAGGGTGCGCTCGTATTATTTCTCTTCTGTGAAAGTACTCAAATATACATGTACTTGTTTTCCTTAAAATTCAAGAACATTGCAATTCCATGAAGCCTGTTTTCAAAGACCTTAGCTTTAAGAAGAAATTTTTGATAGGAAATGAAAGTATTGAGTCTCTATTTTATCTTGATGTTTAAAATGGAACATAATGTCTTAGTCAATAAATTGGTATATCTACAGGGCCATTTTATGTATAAAGTGAATCTAGCTCTTTTTATTTGATATATATTTCTGGTGTTAGATTTAAGAACAGGCAAAGTTTCATCTGAAATTAGTGAACATGCGTGCCAAAAAACTTTAAGTGGTTACAGAGAAAAGCTCTTTTAAAATATATGTATTTCAACAATGGAAAACCGACTGAATGATGACAATCGCATCATCTCGGGTCTTTCCGTCAGTGATCGGAAAAACAACCTCGAATGTATCAACATCACCGGATGTTAAAAATTTATACAAGATGGAGTGCTTCCTATTTATTATAGTATTGGAACGACAGAGTTAAAAGTCACTCTAGTAGTATATTTTAGGTAATATTTTTACATTCAATTAATAAGTTGAGCTCCAACTTCTACAGATAAGAGTATTTCAAAGTTTATGAAAAGGGGGGGGTGTCATGGACGCCTACGTAGTTCACATTCGAGGTTGTTTTTCCGCTTGTCGGAAAGGCCCGAGAAGTTTCGATTGTGAATGATGAGTTTCAATCCAGACCATGTGAAGTTTTCAGGATTACCAATAAACGAAAGTTGTTCGTGCCAATTCCATCCATGTCCTGAAAAAACTGCAGACCAGGCAAAAAACTTGGATGAGACCATAGACAACAAGGTTGCTATAATACTAGTATAACCTAGCAAAAAGCTAGAGCAATACTCAAGCTTTTTGAGAAGGATCTAAACAGCTATCCTAGAAACATAAGCTACAAAACTCTAGTGCCTATACAAATCAAACATTCACTGTGCGGGATCATTCAACAAATCATGCAGCATGCCAAAAGAAAAGAATATATCTACGAGTATACGTACAGAGTCGCGCAGCACTTTTCAGCACGAAAAATGCAAACCCCTTTGTCCGATAAATCATTTCTTTTAAGAAAAAAAAAGTTTCACAAGATACAAAAGGGGGTCAAATTGAGGATATTCGAGGTCTTCTGATGATAATCATTGTTTAATTAAATTATTCTCAATTCGATCGTGGATTTTGCGTCATAAATAAAAATGCAAGAATGATTCAATTTTGTTAAAATCATTATTATTCTGTCGAATTATTCTTACAATTCATCACAAATATGAACATGTAGATAATTATATAATTATTTTTGTGATTAAGAAGACATTTCTTTTCTGTTTTTCCTTAAGAGATTTGAAAAAAAGAACGATGAGTGGGGCTAGTATATGCAAACGGGATTCAAAAAGATAAGATTAGATAGACCCCCCCCCCCTTGCTAATAAGGGCCTGGTACTCACTCATCTGATTTTATTAAGGTAAAACCACACTGTCAGAGTTTTCCTGGCACGTCAAATATCAAAATTGTGAAAAACGCCTGGACAACGTCAGATATTTCGGGCTAACAGAACGAATATGGGAAAGGGGAAGCTAGAATACACGTAATACAGAACTTCTAAATCAGATTCCCGGACAGGGACTTGAAAAAGGAAAAATCAGTTATTACAAGATCTAGAAAATATACAGCATAAACGATCCTGGACGAGAAGGGAAAGATTAACAGTGGTCAGAAGTCATGGAAAACAGGTCTGCAGTAAAATTATGTCCTTAAAATTACCGTAAATTTCTACACCATACTACTTGTATTCATATACGTACTTACACAGAACGGTGACATCTTCTATACATTTAAATTTCCCCAGAAGGGAATCAAAATTTCAATATTATCTAATTGAGGAACATCTGTAATCAATCAATAATATTGTTTTTACTCTGTTTCTATCGCGGGCTGAAGACTCACTGCTTCATAAAATACAATACATTAAATAAAATAAACCTAGCAATATTTAAGTTTCTTATTTCTAAAGAAGTTTTTGTTAAATATGCTTAAAAATTAATTTCGTCTTAGAAAATTTATAATTTGAAATTACTTGTACTATAAGTAAGTATTTATGGATTAAATTCTTTGAGAAACGGATGAAAAATAATTTTTTGCTTCTCAAGCTAAGGGAGGTAACTCCAAATTTTCTTCTAATTTCAACATTTATATGAACATGTATTACAATTTTTACAGTGAAATACTGTAATTTATTTCTTGAATAAGTGTGAAAGAATATCAGTGATATTTTTCTTAGTGTAAAAGAATATCAGAAGAATATGAAACAGGATTTTTTTTTATTTTTTCACTAGTGCTATTTTTCAAGGTGAAAAAAATCAAAAATATGGCTAACTCGGGATTTTCATTTCCTTTGTGAAGAGTGTTACAAAGAAAATATGTTTTGTTCTGATAGCAATATAAGTAAATAAACCATCCTGACAGACTGTAGTTAAATATCCATCTTTACAATTTTCATTTTTAACAATCACTAAGCTATGACGTCACTGCAATATGAAAAGACAGAGACAAAAAGAAAAATCAAAGAAATGTAGAAATTCAATGTTTTGTAGTTAGATATGGAATTCATTTATGAGTCAGACAGTATTTCTTTAGATTATATTGATACTCATGCTTAGCACCCCTGAAAATAAAAAAAAAATAGTAAATAAATAAAGACCAGTCTCACTTGTAAAATAAACTATATCCAACATTGAATATGTTCAATATATATATTTTTTAAAATATTTCCAAACTTTGAAATTTGAAGGTATCTCTTAAACTCTTCAACTTTCTCAGAAAACCGTTTAAATGTAACTTGGTTTGCTATGACTAATATAGTACAAAATATTTTAAGCTTTTTTTTTCATTTCTATAAATTTCAGATGTGTATACATATTCTATATACACCAAATTTATATCAAAAGAATTAAATTAAACATTGTTATATCAAATTCTATTGAACCATGGAAAAACTTTGAGAAATCCAAGAGTACAAGATATGAGGGTAAAATTAATACAGTAAAAGTGATTTGTACTTCCAGTTGAGTTCCACATATCCATGGTATTCGAGATACCAATAATTGAGATACTGAGGCTCAAATAAATATATACATACATACATATATATATATATATATATATATATATATATATATATATATATATATATATATATATATATATATATATATATATATATATATTAGGGATGGCAATTTGTAACCGGTTAACCGATTACTCGGTCGGAACGGTGGCAATCGATTAGAAAATCTGTAATCGGTTAATCGGAAAAAATAAAATATTTGTTAAATTCAACACATTTTTAAAAAAAATTATTTTTAAAAAAGAGATCTCTGCACAAAGGATGATAGGATTTAAAGCATCTAATTAAATGAATCTCCAATTTGAGACTGTTGCGTAATTGGTCAGTTTATGTAGTGTTAATTACTGTGAAAACACCATGTCGTTACCCCGACTGTGCTGTAATTTTTTATTGATAATAATTGAATCATTGAGCACTGTGAATTGGTGTGTTTGTCGTTTCCAATGCAATGTACATGTAATTATTAAACAAACATTGTAAATTAAGGGCTATAGAGTACACATGTAGTTTTGATTATCATAGTGAAAATGCAGAAAGAACTTTTGTGATATCAGCTCTGGTAAATTATGAAAGATTTCTAAGGCTTTTTTTTTCATGGTTTTCTCAATTTTTTCTCGTCTACTGAAATTTAAATAAAAATCAAGACTAATGGAATGTTTTAACTTCTATCGTCTTACTTGGGTCTATTTGTGTATATGGACAGATCGAGCTACTTGAAAAACAGTTGTCAAGAAAACGTGCATTTTGATACGATTAACCGGTTAATCGGTCGGAACGTCTTGCGGATAACTGATTAGCAATTCTGTAATCGATTGCCATCCCTAATATATATATATATATATATATATATATATATATATATATATATATATATATATATATATATATATATATATATATATATATACACACACACAGTTGAACTTCGGTATCTCAAACAAGGATATCTCGAATACCATGGATATGTCGAAGTCACTTTGAAGTCAAAACGGCTTATTCTTTAAGTATTTTACCATGGCTATCTCGAATCCTCAGTTATTTTGAAGTATTTTCTCGGCCCCTTCAAGTTCAAGATAACAAGGTTTGACTGTATATATATATATAAAATTAAAATAGAAATAATGATTGAATTTGTCAATTTTAATATCATCATTAACATATTAAAATACAATGAAAATATTGAAGCATACATCATTTACAATTTCATATTGTTCATTGTTATTACCTTCCCAAGAACTCAGTATTATGTTATGCCAGACAGTGAGATAAATGTGTCCCCTTTGTAAAGTTCATTCACTCTGAGCAGTAGATAAGAGATTTATACATCTTTCAATCCTCAAAATACACATTGCTTTCATACATGTTCCATATTCCACAGGCTCTATAAGCACTTAATTAATTTAAAATCACTTTCACATCATGTCCTTTTTTAATGTTATAATAGTGCCAAGGTGACACAAAACACCAATACATTTAGTTCATTTCTATTTTTGCATTTAGCACTGAAAGCCAACAGTCAAAAGCTAACAAGACAAAAAAGCATGTAAACATGAATATGGAATAAATATCAGATGTTGCCAATTACTGATACATCATTTAATAAACAGTCTTAAACAGATACTATGGAATACATTGTACCACAAATTTAATAGCAAAACCTAAAACTGACCTATATTTGAGTGGAAGGTGAAGTTAACTCTTTTCTCATTCTGACTTGGTTATAACAAAAGAAGTCTTATTAATATTACAAATTCAGTGAGAAAAAATATCCACATGTTTTGTTGAACTTCAATTAGGACAAACTGGTAACATGATTTTCAATTTAATATATACTCTGCAGACAATTCACCCCTAAACATCAAAATACAACAATTTGCATGTGCCGGTACTTAATAAACTTTAATAGACTCAGTCAGGCATATTTACGGAACTCATACACCATTTATCAGAGAACCTGTTACTTGTGAACACTTCATAAAATCAATATACAACAATGAATAACATAATATTACTTCAATATCAGCATAGATCAAACAGACCACTGCCTATTATAGCAGGTCATGTTCCTGATGCTTTCACCGTCAATCTTTGAACTGTCAAAGGATTTGTCTATGATATATCGTCTGAATTAAGCCGGGGCATTTTAGACGAGGAACTGCTTTCTGTGGAATCTAGGCTAGAACGACTATAGTCTCGCTTTTTATTCTGATTCTACAATGAAGAACTTTCACATATATCCATAGATATCAAACACTGTAAGTAAAGGAAACATGGCAAAAAGAATACACATATATCAGTGTATATTTGAGGTATCAACTAAAAATAAGCAATTGGGTACAAAAATGTTGAGAAACGCAAATACTTGATTTTTTTTTGAATTTTTGGAAGCTGAAAAATAACTCCTTCTGGCTCCAGGGAAATAAAGCTTAGAAGAGCTCACTTTTGATCTTTGCCTCACTTTTACATAAGGAATTTATAGTGGAAAAGTGAAACTGGGATCAAAAATGAGCTTATCTACGCTTCCCAGCCCTGGATCCTGGCATTACTGACCTTTTTATCCCACTGCTGATGTAAATACCGTAACAAAATATTGGTCTTCTCTGTCGTAATAACTGTACAAAATTAACAGACAGTAATTAGTTTATGGTGTATTAAACATGACAGGATATCAGAGAATGCAGTAATCAAATTCTATAAAACTTAAATGTAAGAGACTAGATGTATCAAAGTGATGTGAAAGCATATAAAGACATCCTGAGGAACACTGGTACATAACCATTAATGTAATATGGAATGGAAATAAAATGCCTTTTTTTCAACAAATTACACCATAAATTTAAGGACATTGGCAAGGTTCCTGGTTATTGTATAGAATTTTTCAAGAACTCTTGAGTAGGTTTAATTGTACTACACAGGCTGTATTCTGGATTGTTTACCTACCAAGCCAGCCTTCTTTTTAAGATTTCGTCAAATCGGTGTTTTTGCAATTCTCAGTGCATTTCCTATGTAAAATGTTGATAAAAGGGACCTACATAATTTTTTACCATAATATTTCTCCCAATCCCCCTTATTTTATATAGTTTTTGTATTATATACATTATTGTATCTTCAATTCCCCTGACTTCTAGATATTTTGGATGAAAATAAATATATAAAAACACCGGTACTAATCTTATTTTTTGAGTTACTTCCCTTAACAGCTATATTTACATATTATCCATAATGGTCAAGAGAGTCAGACTGGTTGATTTTTCTTTCATGTAATTGACTGAATTAATTGAAACACGTCATAAAAATATTGGCATGCAATTATTTTAATTTTATTTGTAGTTACTAAATGCTGCTTCCTTCTTACAACCTAGAAACTGACCTCAGTCGGTCTACCTTTCAGCATATGTCACATCTTTGCCCTTCCCAGCATACTGTCAGTGAGCATAACTATGGTAAATGACGACCCGTTGGCTCTTTGTCCCCTGAATACAATGTGCAACAAAGCCATTATTACTTTTCTTTCTTGATGATTCTACCCGTTGAAGAAAGCTAGTACACGTGCTTTTGTTTACCTCTGTAACATACGCTTTATTGGTTTTCACCGCTTAGAGAATTCTACACGGGAGATCACTCTCAATCGCTATTTCATAAGTGAAAAAAACCATGTATTAAACCTTTTTTCTCCGGAAAACCCTGACTTGCCAATGTCCTTAAATGCAGTTTTCAACCTAAGTTAAATGATTCATTTACACATACTTTATATTATTCATGTGCTTCTCAAAGTTTTTGTTAATCATTGATCAGGTTTGAGCAAATCCCAGAATTTTGGGAATCATTTTCATAATATTCAGCTGTAGGATTTTTAAGTTTTTATCTTCAAAGCAGTTTAAATTATAACTACCAGGTAGTTTATAATCTTGACCCTTGTAAGGGAAAGGAGAGGGAGAGACTAAAAAATTGTCAATTACTAGATTCCCAACACCAGTTAGCCTGAGGCAAACACTTTGAGTTTTACCTTTATAGAGAATTTACTAATCATTCACAGATAATTTTATACCTTGTTCTGAGGGGTGGTCCACTGTAGGAATATAGACTGCTGGTTTTCTCATCTGTTTAAAGGGTAAACAAAACATTATCAGGTTCATTGAAAGCACGAGATTAGCCTAGTACAATTACTTGTTTCATTGTTATATAAGCATGATATGCTCACAATTCTCATTGCTAAGGCCTATTTTTGATTTAATTCCACTGTTACAAGATGAGTAAACTAAAGATTTTCTTGAACATCTTTATTAAGACAAATGCTGTCTCAAACATCTTAAGATCAAATTACATATGAAGAAATTAATATACATTAAAAATCCCAGTTTCTTTACATTTGTACTTGGGTCTTGGTCAATACATGTAATATGATAACAGTAAAATTCAGTAATTATAGCCCGGTCTTTCGGATCCCAGGCAAAATCCTTAACAATAAAATGTGTATTTTTTTTAATAAATTCTGATTAACAAATTTAAGGATATATATCAAACTGATTTTGTGTCTCAAGAAGTTAAAATGATGAAATTTACATCTTTAAATTTTTCAAGATCTCATTATTGAAAATATTGAACTGATAATATTTTTCCTAAGTATTTATATTCAAAATTCAATTCATCAGCAGCATCCAATAAGAAATCATTGCTTAATCTTTAAATTTACTATATCTGTGTTCATACTATTTTAGTGTGAAACCTTCCCAGAATTCTTTTGCTACCACAATGCCATGTGATATTCAATGGTGAATATAGCAGTACCACAGTTATTGTAAGGATTTTTTCCTTATATTTAATGAAGTGCTTTGAAGTGGTAAAATTTTTCGTTTGAATGGAACGTTTTGAGCTTTCTTTTGAACGTTGATTGTCACATAATGACACGCCCATTTCTTCAGAAAAGAAAAAAAACGGTCAAATGGGTTATTTGAATACCTGTAAAACAGGTATTCTATAAATACAATAGCCAATCAGATTGGCAGTCTACATAAACACCGAGTAAACACGTGTTCGACCTGTACATATGATAACTTCAATAAACAGAATAAATTCATAATTATGTACATATTTGTTGTAATACATTAGTTTTACAGAAGCGGGGAGTCTTTAACTAGATCACTCTTCTAACTTCATAAAATCTCCACTTCAGCAAAACTTGTGTTGCTAATCGCAGAGAGTAAGGTGTCTTGAAAGCATTGCGACGAATATTTCTTTCTTGTTTCTAAAGAAATGGGCGTGTCACTATGTAACAACTGAAATTCGATAAAAAAGACCCAAACGTCTTATTCAAAAGAAAAATTTTACCACTTCATGCGCTTCATTGTAGAAAGTTTGAAGGAAACAAAAGATAATTGCACCTATTCTACTCTACAATGCCTGTCATTAAAAATTTTGCATCATTTAAACTCAGTTATGGAAGTGAAACTAACATAAGACATCAAGTGAACTGTGATGTCAAAGTCAAACTGGGTCTCATGCTGTTTGAAAAGGGGCATCAAAGTTAAAAAGTCTAAGCCGTTTTTTTTCATGGTATCCAGTAATAAATACAACTGCTCTCCAACCGAACAGTCACATCCTTAAAACATATTACTTTAACTTGTATAGCATAACATAATATTTATTGGTTAAGATGCACACACCATTTTTATTTAACAAAGTTATAGTCTTAGATCAGCACATGGTTTAAAAATGAAGTTTAAAACTAAACTTTTAAATGTAGAATTTGATTTTGGGATCAAAAAGGTCAAAACCCCTGTACTTTTGATTTTTTTCGATCGCTCATACGATCTCATACATAATAAAACCGCCTATGATGACACTATATTTTAGCGCGTTTTTCTGGGAACCAGTAAAGTCGTTTCTCAAATTTATTACAGAAGGGAAATAAGTATTGTGTAACTATTACTGCAGACTAAATACAGAATAAGAAAAAAACAAATAATCAAGTCTTAATGCAAAATGAATGTTAATGTTTTCATTAGATTTATGATATCATAAGGCAAACAATTATTAGGATGAATTATATGAATGCAGTTTAGAGCAAATGAGTTTAAAGCTATATATGGCAAATCTGATCTAAAATATAAAAATACAAGACTGAGTGTAGATGAACATGATATTTGTTATTTACGTTCAAATTAAAATTTTCACCGATTTTGAATTTGAATAACCCCATGTTTCTATAGTTAAATTGATTTTAAACTGCATCTGATATTTAAATGCAGAGTTGGTAAATAAATCGGTTATTGTTTTAAATTTCTAATATCTATGAAACACGATTGATTTAAATTGTGTAATTTACAGGAAAGTCCTATATTTATATAAAGTAAGAAAACAAATAGAAAGATCTTTTTAATATTAGTTTGTCTGAACTTATCAAAAATATGCCATAAATGACTTTAAGAGCAAATGGACTTTGGGCAAGCAGACTCAGGTAAAAATGTAGATAGGGCAAACAAACCCTATTTGAACCAAACACAAACTTGCATGTTTAGTACTTACTTTAGTACTTACATTTGATCTACAACTGGAATCTATGTGGAACCTTGTAAAATTATCCTCGTTGTGACTAGGTAATTCTTTTAGAAAATCCGCCTGAAGTAAAAATAAGATCAAATCAATGAATTAAGCTTTGAAAATCGAGGCAATTCGAACAGTAATGTTGTAATGCTTTTTGTAAGAGACAACAGAATCAAATGAGTATTTATCATTTTTCACTGATCAAATTTTTGGCAAATTTCATTCCATAACAGATATATTAGTATTATTTGGATTTTTCCACCCAATTTTATGATCATGCTGAAAGTTGATCGAATCAATGCCATTTTCATCTTCAAAGAATGGTTTATTATAACCATCAGTCCATTGTAAAATTCTATAAAAGTTTCAGTAATGTGTACATCAAATTTCAAGAGAACTTTAATTGTCAAAAATTTGGTTTGAAATGGAAAACTTACCATCTTCGTCTACTTTTTTTGACGTTTCAATATTGATAAACTTTAAAACCTAAAACAAAACCCAATCCGGACGTCATTGCCCGGAATTACATTTTCCGTACACATGCGAAATATAAATAAACAAAATGTCGGACGATGAGTGCATGTACGACGATGAAGAGTATGACCTGGTAAAACTTTCATAAGCTTGTTTACAACATCAATAAGGGTTTTAAAAAATGATGATAAACAGTTTGTTTTTCTTAAGGCAAACTTCCACATGAATTCGATTAACAGTGTACGCTAAAATAGATGTAGTTTTTGTATATTAATGTAACAGGATAGGAGAAAATGTATGACTGGATCGGGAATTGAACCTAGGACCCCTGCATCACTAGTCAGTTGCTCTACCGACTGAGCTACCCAAACCAATATCCACGGCCCAAACCATTACATTCCTCCCTCCTTAAATTGTCTTCGCCCTCGAAGACACAACCCACGTTTTTATTGCCCCTGGCAGGACATTCAACTGGAAGTCCAGGGGTGGTCAACGGCACCAAATCTGTAACAGCAAAGGAGAAAATGTATGGCTGGACCGGGAATCAAACCCGGGACCCCTGCATCACTAGTCAGGTGCTCTACAGACTGAGCTACCCAAGCTGTAGTCCGAAATATCTGACGTTTTCCTGGCTTTTTTACGATTTTGATATTTTACATGCCAGGAAAACGTCAGAACCGGCGCCATTACGAAAACTGAAAATTTCGCCTTCTCCAACCTGAGTTGATTTTCAATATTTGCAAACCAAATTAAATGCCGAACTCACAATTTATCGATAGCACAATGCTTCTAGTACTCACCAATATCGATGAAAAGAAAACATCACTCCGCTTTTCGATACAGGAATTGCAAGATTTTAAAATGCACGAAATGAAAACAAGACTCGACAGTCAGATAAAATGTTTTCATCGGATTGTATATTTTATAAATGAACCATAAAAATGATGTTGGCGAGTACTAAAAGTATTGTACTACCGATAAGTTGTGAGTTTGACATTTAATTCGGTTCGCAAGTATCGGAAATCAACCCGAGAATGCCGCCTCCCATTGGAGGCAGTGAATTCCCAGTTTTCATCATGGTGCCAGTTCAGACGTTTTCCTGGCACGTAAAATATCAAAATTGTAAAAAAGCCAGGAAAACGTCAGATATTTCGGACTACCCAAGCTGATACCCACGGCCCAAACCATTACATTAGTAAAACAGGACATCAGGAGAAATTACCTTTTTCATCTATAATTATTAAAAGATTGATAGATTAAATTTTACTATAAGTATTTCATCTTTATTGTATAAAAGGGACTGCATTAATTACGCTTTCAGAATAGGTTTCATATATTTCACAAGTATTAAAATGTTCTTTGTTTGCTTAAATGCAGTCTTGTCATTTCATTATTACAACTACCAGTTGAACTTCAGTATCTTGAACACTGATATCTCGAATACCATTGATATGTCGAAGTAATTTGGAAGTCCCTATATTTTATTCCTTAAGTATTTTACCCTGATTATCTCGAATCCTTGGATATCTCGAAGTATTTTCTCAGTCCCATGGAGTTCGAGATAACGAGGTTAGACTGTATTACAAGTCATATTTTGATATATTTCTCAATAGAATGTATAGAGTGTCCATGAGCAATTACAGAGCCACATCATCCTGCACTGTAATGCCTAGGAACCACTTTTGTGTTTGTGACATCACAAAACATTTGCCCGTCTCTCCATTCTTAATGACATAACATACCAGTACCTATCTATCGAACTGGCAGTTACTAATGTTGCATGGATGATAATGACCAGAAATTTAGAAATTCCATATATATGAATCTGAAAAAAATGTGTTGGTACTATTAAAATTGTTTTGGATCACTAGCTTGAATATTGGCAAATATGCCCGCCCTCGGTCTTTGCACAGATGCTGAACTCACAAGCTCGATCTGATTCACCGCAGAAAGTCCTCAGGCGGGCATATTGCTTAGTATTCAGTCAATAACCTTTAATTAATATTTGTGTTCCTCAATATCGTTGTGAGGAGAAGCAGTGCTTGGTATGATTTATCATGGTTATCTCTATTTACAGGAGTATTCCGAAGAAAGCAACTCAGAGCCAGATGTCGATCTAGAAAACCAGTATTACAATTCTAAGGCACTCAAGGAAGATGACCCAAGGAGTGCCTTGGAAAGTTTTCAAAAGGTAAATGAAAACTATGATACATCTTAGATATGATTCCCCTGTAGTGCTTTGTAACAAGAAGAAAAAGAATGTTATCTCAGTGGGTCTTGTTAGAATATTAATTCTAACTGTCTTCAGATATGCCATTGTTATAGTTATATAACAAGGGCATAACATATATGTACATGTAGTTAGATTACATTCCATATATCTGTTATGTAGCAAAACTGAACTGTCCTGCCCTGGCACAGTTTTGAATTATATTTATGGCCTAAAAGAAGTGCAAAATTAAAACAAATATTTTTTTAGTATTTTGAGTCTCTAAACCAAAGATTAATCATTATTAAACAGTCAGTTATTAAAGTAAATCATCAATACATTTTGTCAACATTTTTTCCTCCATTTTGACTTTCAGACCTTCCCTCAATGTTCAAGTATTACTTTAAATTTAGAGATTTGATATACATACATGCATCATTTGCAACAAAAATAAGTCCAGGGTTGAAATTTTTCTGGAAAACCCACTAGCCCAGGGGCTACTGATCAGTAAAAATTTACTAGCCCAAATCTCAAACCAACTAGCCCAACAATTTTCATGCAAAATGAAAACATAAGAAATTAAAGTGTCAAATGCTTTAGTACAGGAACAAATTAACTTGGTTCTCAGTCAAAAGAAACCAGTCTACATAGAAAAGCTATGGTAAACTGATGGTCGAGAATTTTTTTCTGTTCTGTTAGTCTGACGGACTATCGTCATATTTAAATTAGCTAGCCCAAGTCTTAAAATGACTAGCCCTGGGCGCCGGGCTACCGTATATTTCAACCCCTGAAGTCCAAGAATATATATCAATCCAAGCATCCAATTTTGTGGAAAACCTTGTGGTGTCTACGGTGGCAGTATTAATTTTCTCTGTTGCTGTTTCCTTAGAAAAGTTGTTCAACGTTGTTCAAAGAGTCCAACAAAAAAAAATAAATATATATTATATAAATGAAACCACAGTAGTAATGATCAATATGAAAAAGTACTAAAGATTAACACTGACAGTAAATTTGTTTATAACTTTTATATCAATATTTAGGTTTTAGAATTGGAAGGGAAAGATAAAGGCGAATGGGGCTTTAAGGCATTAAAACAGATGATCAAAATAAACTTCAAATTGGTAAGTGAATCATTTTACGATCACAAGCATATTTCCTTTGAACATCTTTTTAAATGTACATATGTAGTATATTCTATTATATAATACTGTATAAAGCAATCTTTTTACTGTAGTTTTATCTTTAAAACGTGGTAAAATTTGATGATAGTGTCATACACTGGTAATAAAGAAATAAACAGGAGAAGGGATAGAAAGCAGCAAACTTACAAAAGAAAAAATGGGTTTTGTTAAGTAAGCACACATGATGTCAAAGCTTTATGTGGTATGTCTAGGAAGAATTTCATGTGTTAAATCATCACATTGTACAATTTGTGATTGTAGGGAAATTTTCCAGAGATGATGAAACGATATAAACAGTTGCTGACCTACATCAAATCTGCTGTAACTAGGAACTACTCAGAAAAATCCATCAACTCCATTCTGGATTACATCTCCACATCCAAACAGGTTCCAGATAAACTTATTTTAGTTAATTCATCTCACATGAAAATGTACACACTGTATAAATTTACCATTTAAGCTTATGAGGTCTAAAGTAACATGTACTTTACACAAATTTTCCACTTTTGCTCGGTTTAGATATATTTTTTTATATATCAAACAGATGGAACTCCTGCAGAATTTCTATGAAACAACATTAGATGCCCTAAAGGAAGCTAAAAATGAGAGACTGTGGTTCAAAACTAACACCAAGCTTGGAAAGCTGTATTTTGATAGAGGAGATTACCAAAAGTTACAGAAGATCCTAAAACAACTTCACCAGTCCTGTCAGGTACTTACAGAAAATCCTTAAATAACTTCTCCAGTCTTGTCAGGTACTTACAGAAAACCCTAAATCATTCTTACTCCACCTCTGATAATTTGTTTATGAAATTCTTGTTTTTGATTGATTTTGTTTTTTACATGAGGGGAGGGTGGTATTTATTACTGGTCACTTGAAAATCAATACAGGTCAACACAAGAACTTTTTAAAATAAAAATATCTATATGCCTTGTGTCATTATATACTGAGGAGATAAAAAAGAATCATCTGATTACTATCAAAAGTGATGCAAGGCTGCACATTTAATGAAAGTGTTGAAGAACAAGGAAATCAGCATACAGCCAGATGTACCGGGGTACACATGTACAGATGTGTCGAAGTTCATATGATAGAACCAGGTTGTGATTTTGTCAGCAACATAAGACTACCTATAATATTTAGTCATTGGTGGGGTTAATTCTTTGCATAGTCACATATTAACAGGCTACAAGGTCATATCTGATTTATAAATTTCATACCAGCTTGGCTTCACCTCACCAGTATGAAATTTACTAACCAGGTATAATCCAGTACCTGGTCACTACATGACTTTGTTACTATTAATACATTGGTCATTGTGTAAAAGTACCCTCACTGTTCTGTAGACGGATGATGGGGAGGACGATCTGAAGAAAGGTACTCAGCTGCTGGAGATTTATGCTCTGGAAATCCAGATGTACACAGCCCAGAAAAACAACAAAAAATTAAAGGTCTGAATCAGTCTGTAATTTTAATTTACTGTCTTCACATTCTTATAAACATTCATTCTCTGCAGTTTATGATCAACTTGTTTATTTTTTAATTCCAGACACTGTATGAACAGTCTCTCCACATAAAATCTGCGATCCCCCACCCACTTATCATGGGAGTGATTAGAGGTGAGACTACATAAGGAATATGAAAATCTGTACTGATGATACCCGGTAATACATGTACTAACATCTTGAGATGATGCTTTTTTCAAGCTTTGGTTACAAAGCCCCCAAAAATGATACTCACAAAACTTGCACTTTTGTGCAATAAAGTTCCAAAGTAATGTATGGGAAAAGATATTTACATCTGGATAAAATAATTTGGTCAATGAGATATTGCATTATCCTTCTTTGCTGTCATGTGACCAATCTTGATGCAACATATTCAATGAATCCAGATCTCCTTGCAAAAATAAGGGAGGGGGTAAAACTAGAGTTTCCATGTCTTTGAGAAGAGATATTTATTTTATTTTTTTTAGAATGTGGAGGGAAAATGCACCTAAGAGAGGGCGAATATGAAAAAGCTCACACAGATTTCTTTGAGGCCTTTAAGAATTATGATGAATCTGGAAGTCCAAGGTAATTGTAACCAGAGTGAATTACTGTACGTGTACATAAATTGGCGTATTTAAAATTTAGTGCAGTAACTGGGTATTGAATGTATGGCGTAATCATGAATTAGCGCTATACTTGTCTGTGCTGTATATTGTATTTATAAATGATTTCTTAGCAATATTCATAAATTAGCGCATCATTGTCTGCGCAAAAGCCGCTAAAATATGAAGCCCGCTTTTTTAAGTATACATACAGTATTTATACAGTATGTGTTTGTGATGTTCATATCTGTCAGATTGTCTTTTGTGTTTCTGAAAGTTATCTATGATGATATAAAGCCTGTGTCTTAATTCTGTTTTATTTACATTTTTCCGCTGGGTGCACATGTACTCTCAGATCAGTCTTTCGGTGATATCACAGGAAACTACAAAGTCATGGTCAAAACTCTAAGTAAAAATTTGGATACCACTTTTAAAAATTTACAACTATGTCTTTATATTCAAAGATTAAAATAAAAACATGTTCTGGTGTAAATAAACTTAATTACTGAAGTACCAATATTTGTTTGCAGAAGGACAACTTGTCTGAAATACTTAGTGCTGGCAAACATGCTAATGAAGTCAGGAATTAACCCATTTGATTCACAAGAAACAAAGCCCTACAAAAATGACCCAGAAATCTTGGCTATGACTAATTTAGTGAGGTAAGAAACAAAGTCCAACAAATATGACTGAGAAATCTTAGCAATGATTATTTTAGTGAGGTAAGAAACAAAGCCCTACAAAATTGACTGAGAAATCTTAGCTATGACTAATTTAGTGAGGTAAGAAACAAAGTCCAAAAAATGACTCAGGAATCTTAGCAATGACTACCTGGTAATTTAGTGAGGTAAGAAACAAAGCCCTACAAAAATGACTCAGAAATATTAGCTATGACTAATTTAGTGAGATAAGAAACAAAGCCCTACAAAAATGACCCAGAAATCTTAGCTATGACTAATTTAGTGAGGTAAAAAAATAAGGTCCAACAAAAATGACTCAGAAATCTTAGCTATGACTAATTTAGTGAGGTAGCTGTCATTTCTACAAGTAATGTATTCATCTTTGTGAATAAGAATGTTAGATAATTATTGTTGAGAAGAGATAATGACTTTTATTACATATAAAAGAAGTCAAATTATTTGCTATTATATAAAATATGTATGTCTAAATGTGTTCCAATATTATTTTCTTGTGTGTGTTTTAGCTCCTACCAAAATAATGATATTAATGAATTTGAGAAAATCCTAAAAACAAATAGGAGAAACATCATGGAAGACCCTTTTATAAGGGAACACATAGAAGGTAAGTACATGTATTAATTATTTTCATGGATATATGTACTGTTGTATGCCAATATGATTTAACATATTCCAGATCACAGAAGTAAGCCATTCACTATTAAGTACATACATTACTACATGAAATCTAAAATACACATAGTTTGGCATCAATCATGAATAAATAAGCAAAGTACAATGTTAAAGCCACAAAGTACAAGTACATATAAATTATATAGGTAAATTACCAATGTTAAAATGAATATCTTATGAACTTTGTGTTATTTGTCTTTTTATATGTACAGGTATATTTTGGCTATTACCTGGAGCAGTGTTTTTTTTAGTACATGTGTTACTAGTCTTTGGCTTTTTACATGTACAGGTGTTATTTGACTTTTACATGTACAGGTATTGTTTGACTTTTACATGTACAGGTGTACACAAGTAAGTGTACATACTGAAATATTTATTTATTTTTAATGCAGATTTACTTAGGAACATCAGAACACAAGTGCTAATTAAGTTGATTAAACCTTACACGAGAATTCATATTCCTTTCATATCAAAGGTAAGTTAATACATATGCTGGAAAATGTCCATAATAAAAAAAAATACTGATCAGACTTGGGTATTGAATGCTTGATAGCAAGTCTATATATCTGCATGTTTACCAAAGCCTTAACAAAGTCAATTCTCTGTAATGTATTCCCTTAACAGGAGCTGAATATTGACCCAACAGAAGTGGAAAACCTTCTAGTGTCTTGTATTCTTGATAGGTAAGATGGTGTAATGAGTTAGTGTTCTAATTTACAGTTTTCTTTTGTTTTTAGCTCACCTGAGCTAACAGCTGAGCTTTTCTGATCAAATTTTTTTTTAAAATGTCCATATGTCCAGCTGTCTGTCTGTATCACCCACTGAGCCAATGGGCGATCAAAGTATTATTATATGATTATTATAATGTATGATTCTTTTTACTGCCTTATGCAAATACAAGGATACTATTTACAGGTTGTTGGGTATTTAGGAATTATCTTGAAATTTTATAAATGCAGTTGCTGTTGCTTATTCTTCTTCATATATCTTCAAGTATTTGTAATCAAGTAAAATTTTCATTCCGTAAGCTGCACCCTTATATTTCTGGCTCTCAGTGGGGCCCTTGCTGACTGGTCAGTTTTCTAGTCTTGTTTGTTCAAAGCGTGACCCCCAGTGGTAGGGTGGGGCCAAAGTAAGTTTTACATGGTAATATATATGGGGAAAAATCTGCAGATGAACAGTGGGGCCATAGTGACTCAGTTGGGCATAGTGGCTCATGGGCCTTTCTTTTCTTCTTATTTTATATGTGCCATTTTTAAGCTGATTTCTCATATAAATGTCATTCTTTAAGTGCTATCCATGGACGGATTGACCAAGTAAATCAGGTTCTGGAACTGGACAGAGAAAACACAGGTACGGCCAGGTACAATGCCATGGACAAGTGGACAGCACAGCTACAGAGTTTACACCTGGCTGTTGTCAATAAAACAACTTGAACCTCTAGGAAAATATAGCAATGAATGTGAAACTTTAGTCAATGACTCTAATATTTATCTTTAAAATTTTAATATAAAATGTAAAACAATCCCTGTTCAATTTGAGCTAAGTCCAATCCTGATACTAGAACCTGCTAGATCTGCGCAAAGATAGACTTTAGGAGCAGAATTTATTTATATCATTTTACAATGTTTCCAAACTACTTGGTATGTTTTTGTTTCCAAGTCATCCAGCGATGAGTGTTATGTAGTACCTGTACTCGATTTCACTGGAAAAATCATGTCACATTAAAATATCATATTTGATTTTCAGAGAATATCATTATAATTACTGTCTTTAAATTGATTTTGTTGTTTAAAGCTTGAATGTTTTTGAAATATACAAAATTCTCATGTGTGTACATGTGAAGGACTGAAAAATGGAGAAAACTACATGTATACATTTTTGTAATGTATATGAAAAATAAAAATCTGAAATATGTAACTTATTTTTGATACTTGAGTATGGGCATCTGTAAATTATCCAGTAAACAGAATTAAGGGGAAAATATTGTCAGACCAGGGCGAGATTTAAATCGAGGCTTTTTGAACATCTGACAAGTTCATTTGACCACTGATGTTCAATTGTCTGACCCAACTTCACAAGCTCATTAAACAACCTTGGTCTTTATAGGCTACAGCACTATATGGAACAATGGAATGTGATTCAAATTCAAACAAGTCTTACCTGAACTCCATTGACTGAGCTGGTTAAACCTTGAAAATGATTCTTGGGGCCTGTGGCTCTTAAACTCAAAAGCAGGTCACACTGACCTATATTTTTAGCTTACTTGAGCTAAAAGTTCAAGTGAGCTGTTCTGATCACATTTTGTCCATCTCTGTCCATCTGTAATCTTTTCACAATTTCTACTTCTTTGATTTGCAAGAACCATTATGCCAATTTCAACAAACTTGCCATAAAGCATCCTTGGGTGAAGGGGATTCAATGTTGTTCAAATGAAGGGCATAGCCCTCTTTCATTGGAATATAATAAAGAATGTGAAAATTTATTGGCATCATTTAAATATCTTGTTTTCAAGAACCAATGGTGCCAGATGATGATGATGATGAATTTTATTAAGAGAGTTTCTTTACATAGTGAAGATTAAAGTTTTTTCAAATCATGACCCCCGGGTTAGGGCGGGCCCACAGTAGGCAATCAAAGTTCTACAAAGGAATAAATAGAAAAAAAATCTTTTAAAAACTTCAAAAGAAGAGCAAAGCCATGATGAGACCTTGGGGGTAAGGTGCATGAGGTCACAATAGGAGATCAAAATTTTATATGGTAGTTTACATGTATAGGAAAAAGTCTTATCCAGAACAGCAAAGCTATGATTAGTCATACAAATGTATTAATACGGAAGCATCCTCATGTAGTGTAAATTCAAGTTTGAACAAATCAAGGCCCCTTAGGATGGGGCCAATAGGAGGTCAAATTTTACATGGGGATATATAGGAAAAATCTTCCTCTTATAAGCAGAAAGCTGTAAGTTATATTGATATGCAAGCATCCTTAGGAAGTTCTGATTCAAGTTTGTTTAGAAATAGGTTGAGGCTGCAATAGAATACCAGAGTTTTTTTTTACAAGGGATTATGTAGGAAGAATTTTTTTAAGAGTGGCAAGGCCACATTAAATCATATAAATAAGCAAAACATCTGTTAGTTGTGTGGGATTTTTTTTTTAATTATGAACCTTGGGGTAAGAGTTAGGCTAAAATCAGAGATCCAAATGTTACATAATGCATATGGAACAAAATCACCTCCAAAGCAGCAGGGCCATGTAAGACATATTGATAATGAAGAATTCCAGTGTTATATGGATTCAGCTTTGATTAAATCAAAGCCCCATTAGGGCTAGATTTTAGTTCACAATTTGGATTCATTTTTTTAAATGAAATTAAAGGGGAATTTTAAAAATAAATCTTCTGATGAAGAACAGCAGGGTCAAAGTAACATGTAAGCCTTGTGGCAAATGAGCCTCTTGTTTTTATATTAGTGTAACAGGAAAAGAGAAAATGTATGGCTGGACCGGGAATCGAACCTGGGACCCCTGCATCACTAGTCAGGTGCTCTACCGACTGAACTACCCAGGCCAATATCCATAGCCCAAACCATTACATTCCTCCCTCCTTAAATTGTCCTCGCCCTCGAAGACACAACCCAAGTTCTTATTAGCCCCTGACAGGACTTTCACCTGCAAGTCCAGGGGTGGTCAACAGCACCAAATCTGTAACAGGAAAGGAGAAAATGTACTGGCTGAACTGGGAATCAAACCCGGGACCCCTGTATCACTAGTCAAGTGCTCTACCGACTGAGCTACCCAGACCAATATCCACGATCCAAACTATTACATAAGCTTGGCCCTTTGAGACATAGCTTCATTAACTATAAGCCGCTGATGCATAGGGCCTTGGAATGTATTGGTACAAATTAAATCTGGTTATAATTGTATTGTCAAACTTTAATTCTGCAAGGACACAGTGAGGTCGGGGGTGATACAACATTGTTAGTGCCTGTGGGTGCATGTTAGAATTCAAAAAGTAGGTCATAGTAACCCACATTTGAAATTTTTTCACTGCAAGTTGTTAAATTATCTTACTTGAACAGTTTGCTGAGTCAAAGCCCTAGAATTGCAAGTTGATGCATCTTGGAGTCTCAAGGTGTGATAAGGTACAATTTGTAATTTAAGGAAAGGTCAACATGATCCTAATTTGAAATAGGGTAAATACTACGTATTTAGCTGTATATATAAGTCAATTTCTTTTTCAGGCATATAATTATATTTTGCCTAAAATTACCATTTTAGTGTAGGCAGCTTGGAATAAAGGTTTGTTATTATCCTTGGAAAGGTATAGTTCATTAAAAGCTTTATTTATGTATTTTTATACCATCCTCCCTATTTAGAAGATGAGAATAAGGATCACTAGTCTGTCATTTGGAGCATTTTGGAACCATGCAAAACATAACCTGGCCAGTAGTTTGAGTTCTCTTTGATCTTTACCTTTAATTATATTAGCTCACCTGAGCTGAACAATCAAGTGAGTTTTTCTAATCATATTTTTCCCAGCGTTAATCAGCCTGTCTGTAAATTTTTAACATTTTCGCTTACTTCTCACGAACCACTGGGCCAATTTCAACTAAGCTTGCCATAAAGTATCCTTGGAAAAGGGGATTCAAGTTTTTTTAATTGAAGGGCCATGCCTTCTTCCAAGGGGAAGTTTAATTACAAAATTAATTAACTAATTAGGAATTTGTGAAAAATTAATGGCATCTTTTAAATCTTCCTCTGAAGAACTAATGGGCTAGAAAATATGAAAATTAATATGTGGAATCATCCTCAGGTAGTTATAATCTTCTCAAGAAAAATCTTCTTCTCAAGAACAGCAAAGCCTTAAATTGATTGGTCATATTTTTATGGAAACATCCTCAGGTTATGTAGAATCAAGTTTGTTCAAATTATGACCCCCGGGGTAGGGTGGGGCCATGATGGACAATCAAAGTTTTAAGGAATACATAGGAAGAGTGTTTAAAAATCTTCTTCTCAAGAACAGCAAAGCCATTATTACTCTTCATTGCTCTTATTGATATAGAAGCACCCTCAGGTAATGTAATTTCAAATTTGTTCAAATCATGCCCCCCTTCCTCCCATGGGTGTAAAGAGAGGCCACAACAGGGGATTAAAGTTATATACAGAGGAATATAAAGGATATATCAATAAAAAACTGTAAAGCCAAGATAAGTCATTATTCATTCAGAAGCATCCTCAGGTACTGTTATAAGATTCAAGTTTGCTCAAATCATATACCCAGGGGTAGGGTAAGGTAACAATAGAAGATCAAACCTATAGGAAACAAGAGGCCCATGGGCCACAGCACTCATCTGAGTAACTTTGGCCATGCTGTTCTTTACCAAATTTCCCCCATTGTAATACCTATTGTGGCCCCGCCCTACCCCCGGGGTCATGATTTGAACAATTTAGATAAGTTTAAGCTTTTCTGGCCCAGGGGTTCTTGAGAAGAAGATTTTTAAAGATTTTTCTAATATATTTCAATGTAAAACTTGGATTCCCTATTGTGGCCCCGCCCTACCCCCGGGGGTCATGATTTGAACAGTTTAGAATCTACACTACCCCAGGATGCTTCCACATAAGTTTCAGTTTTTCTGGCCCAGTGGTTCTTGAGAAGAAGATTTTTAAAGATTTTTCTAATATATTTCAATGTAAAACTTGGATTCCCTATTGTGGCCCCGCCCTACCCCCGGGGGTCATGATTTGAACAGTTTAGAATCTACACTACCCCAGAATGCTTCCACATAAGTTTCAGCTTTTCTGGCCCAGTAGTTCTTGAAGATATTTTAATGACCCCACCCTATTTTTGTCTTTTCTTGATTATCTCCCCTTGTAAGGGGACTTGGCCCTTCATTTTAACAATTTAAACTCCCCTTTATCCAGGGATACTTTGTACAAAGTTTGGTTAAAATTGGCCCAGTGGTTCTTGAGAAGAAGTTGAAAATGTGAAAAGTTTACAGATGGACGGACAACTAGACAGTCGGACGGACAGCTAGACGGACAGACAGACGACGGACAACAGGTGATCAGAAAAGCTCACTAATAATGAGCTTTTAGCTCAGGTGAGCTAAAAATCTGTAAAAATCTACCAAAGCCATCATTAGTCAAAGAAATTTGGATGCATCTTCAGGTAGTTTAGATTCAAGTTTGTTCAAGTCATCCTCATCCTCCCCAGGACAACTTAAATATTTAAAGTTGTTGTCTATGTTGAACTGATTTCTGCTTTTTCCTAGCCAAAGTGCTCAGGTGAGCAATGTTACCCATGGGCCTCTCGTTTCCCCTGATGTGTAGAGCACCCCCCTTCCCCAATATTTCTCAATTGCATCAGGCTACCAACATTGTATAACGCCAGACATGTACTTAATGATGCTTTTTAGTTCACCTGAGCTAAAAGCTCTAGTGAGCTTAAAACTTTTCACATTATTCTTATATTATATCTTCTTCTTAAGAACCATGTACTGGGCCAATTTCAACCAAACTTGCCATGAACCATCCTTTGGTGAAAAGGATTCAAGTTAATTCAAATAAAGGGCCACATCCTCTTTCAAGGGGAGATAATTAAGAATTAGTGAAAAATCTATGGCATATCTTTCAAAATGTTCTCAAGAACCACTAGCTGGGCCTGAAAAATATATAACTTAATTACGTGAATTTAAAGCTACATTACATTATGTAGACTTAATAAGTTAAAATCATGATCCACAGGGGTAGGATGGGGCCACAATGTGCAATCAATTCAGTTTTACATAGGAATTAATCACATTTATATCGAAACATTTTAAGGTAGCTAGTGTAGAACTGTAGATTTAAGTTTATTCAAATTGTGACTAATGGGAGGGTAGGATGGGGGCCACAATATGTGATCAAAGTTTTAAATAAGATATAAAGTAAAACATGCTAATAAGAGAGCAACAATGAAGGGACAGAAAATTTTGCTTCAATAAACTGTGAGCTTTAATTGGAGAGAGTTTGAATCGTGCACGTGTAAAGATTTTTTTTCCTTTTCACATATACTTTAAAAACATGTGAAAAATAAATTATTTATCAGTAAGTCATTTGATAATATAAAGGAAGCATTAAATGTGTAAATGATATTGACAAAACAATTTTTCAATTACTCTGTCGTAACCAACTGTGCTAATCATGAATATTAATCTGTCTAACCGTCATATAATATTATTCTAATAAATGAACATTTTATACATTTTTTTACCATACAGCAAATACTGTTGTAGATTTACAAATACTAAAAACATTTCTTTTTTAACTCAATTTCATTCAAACGTGAACAACTTATTTGAGCATGCATTTCCGACTTCACTGTTAAATAGACTGACCCAGAGATCGATAAGTGAGTTCACCGTTCCGGCGTTCGTGGAGCTGATTAACATAGAGGGAAGATGGTTGGATGGTTGTGGTTTTGCGAATATACCTGTGTTTAATAGCTTCACTGGCTGTATGAAATAATTTTACACGAATTGTCCTTGATTTTTCATTGTGTAATCTTGGTCGAACATGGGATAATTTTTTCCCGCAAAAATGTCAGATTTGGCGGGGATTCTGGTTAGTAAAGCTAGAAATGAAGACAGTCTCCAAGCAATTCATTAACGGCATGGGAAAACTCAAATGTTTTGAAATTCTTTGGACGGAAAATAAATCTGTGTTTTACCCAGGAGAGCGAGTATCGGGGTGCGTGGTGCTCGACTTGAAGAAAGACGTAAAGCTCAGGTCTTTGAGAATATTTCTGAGAGGTGTGGCTAAAGTTCACTGGACCGAGTCTAGAAACACGGGTACCAGACTTGGGGCGTACACCGAGCATTACAATGCCGAGGTCGAGTACTTCTTCAAAAGACAAGTCTTGTTTGGTGGAGGTATATGCATGTACATGTATAATGAAATCACATCAATGCATTTACAATATTGCAATGCCCATTCTCAGCTAGTAGGCAATTCTGTTACATGATACACAGGTCTGGGTCGGGTACACTGCCTTTTATGGAAGGCACTTTTCAACACGTGACGATGTTATCGTCAAACCCATTCTCCAATCAAATGAATGAGTCGCAAAGCATATGACGGTCTACAACACTGTTTACGATTCAATTGGGACATGGTTTTTCGTCGGTTTACTGCATAATATTTACTTGGTCAACGGAAAAAGTGTACAGCTTCTTTTTTACTTTAAAAGGCTGAAATTGAAAGATTATATTCCAAAGACACTGTTCCATGCTCACTTTTGATATTTGAGTTGTTTTAGATGATTAATAGTTGCTTCAAATAAGGTACAAACACTTTGACGTTTGCGTGTACTTAAAACATTTTGATGATGTTGAGGAGTTAAAATAATTGCGCACATTGTACTGTTGTCTAAAACTATGTTCATATATATCACGTGAAAAAAAACCACACTCGGTGCTTTATCAACACAATAGCACCTACATCCCTTCGAACAATGGTTTACACCGATGTATTACAATTAAGTTGATATAAAGGCTTCACAAAGCAAATTTTGTAAATGTGAGCATAGAAATGAAAGATTATACATCATTTTCAATATTTCTTTCATGAATATCAAAAAAGAATTGAAAACGAGTTCCCAAGGAATAATTCAATTTGCCCTTCATTTTCAACACAACTGATTTCGTATTGATACTTGTAGTAGCCCATGATGCACTGCGACTTATTCAACAGTCAGTAAAGTAAACAGATAGCTAATTTACATGCAAATTTATGCTGATGTCAGAAATCTAGTGGTCTCGACCTGTTACACCCATTTCTAAACTTTTGTGGAAGTGAGTAGGACATGTTTAATTCTTTGGGAGGAACACTATCATTACTCTTTCTTAATGCAGTTTCTCTACCTCATGTACCAGAGATTGTTTTTTTAAATGTTCACCATCAAGCTGTTTAAAAATAGTGACTGGAAAAGGGGAAGTTATAAAACTAATGAATAAAACTGGTACAGAACAGTTTTTTGTGAAAGAAAATTGACTAAAAATATTGACTAAAAAATTTTGCAATTTATAGAATTTTGAGCTCACCATTCAGATATTCTTACTTGCATTTTATAGGTTTTATATACCGGTAGTCAATTTCAAATCCTGTTTTGTTGAGCTGAAAAAAAATGACCAAGTTGTTAATTTTGGATACATCTACACACAAAGATTGAACATTTCTGTCCCCCTGCCAAAGTAATTCATAAAAATGTATCAATGGAGATTGTCACTACAGAAATTATTTCTAGTTAGTTTATTCTTAAACAAACATGTTTGACTTGCACCATAGATTGAAAAAGTGTGATGATTAAGGCATGCTTCGTAGAACTGATACATTATCATATTTTGCAAAATAAGAAGTCAACAGATTTTTATCCTAAAAATCTAGTATCTAATTTCTATTGCAGCAGAGTTTTAATTTGAAAATTAACAACCTGTTGGAATTATAATTAACAGATTTTGAAAATGAATATATGTAGTGCTTTTAAAATGATTATATGTAGCATACCTGGTATTGTTGCAAGCTTTTATTTTTACAGAGGTTACAGATGGAAGAGACCATCTTCTAGAAGCTGGTCATCATGACTTCAACTTCACTTTTGATTTGCCTATGAGGTGATTTTTATGCCCCGCCATGAATATGGCCGGGGTATATAGTGTTTGTCATGTCCGTCTTCCGTCCTTCTGTCCTTCCGTCCTTCTGTCTGTCCTTCCGTCACACTTTGCGTTTAGCTCTGTTCAAAGCTCAGTTTCAAAGAAACTATCCAAGATATTTTTATCAAACTTCATATGCTGATACATACTGATGAGAGCTATTCAACTGCATCAACATTTTTTGACCTTGACCTTTCTTTTGACCTTGACCTCACTTTTCTTAAATTAGTGTTTAGCTCAGTTTTTAAAGATACCATTCAAGATAGTGTAATCAAACTTCATATGTTGATACATACTGATGTAAGTTATTCAACTGCATCAACATTTTTTGACCTTGACCTTTCTTTTGACCTTGACCTCACTTTTCTTAAATTAGTGTCAAACTTTATATGCTGATACATACTGATGAGAGCTATTCAACTGCATCAATATTTTTTGACCTTGACCTTTCCTTTGACCTTGACCTAACTTTTCTTTAATTAGTGTTTAGCTTAGTTTTAAAACCATTCATGATATTTTTATCAAACTTCATATGGTAATACATACCGATGTAACCTTTCAAATGCATAAACAATTTTTTTTCTGACCTTGACCTTTCATTTGACCTTGACCTCACTTTTCTTAAATTTGTGTCAAACTTCATATGCTGATACATACTAATGTAAGCTATTCAACTGCATCAATATTTTTTCACCTTGACCTTTCCTTTGACCATGACCTCACTTTTCTCAATTTGTGTTAAAATGTTGCATTACTAATATACCCTCGGCGGGGCATTCATGTCCTATGGACATATTTCTAGTTTTTTATTAATAAGCTCAACTGAGCTGAAAGCTCAAGTGAGCTTATCTGATCACCCGGTGTCCGTCCGTCTGTCTAGCTGTCTGCCTGTCCATCTGTCTGTAAACTTTTCACATTTTCAAAATTTGCAAGAATCACTGGACCAATTTTAACCAAATTTGGCACAAAGCATCCCTGGGTAAAGCAGATTCTAAATTGTTAAAATGAAGGGCCAAGCCCCCTTCCAAGGGGAGATAATCAAGAAAAGGCAAAATAGGGTGTGGTCATTTAAAAAATCTTCTCAAGAACCACTGGCCCAGAAAAGCTGAAACTTATGTGAAAGCTTCCTGAGGTAGTGAAGATTCTACATTGTTCAAATCATGACCCCCAGGGATAGGACGGGGCCACAATAGGGAATCCAAGTTTTACATTAAAATATACAGGAAAAATCTTTAAAAAAATCTTCTTCTCAAGAACCACTGGGCCAGAAAAGCTGAAACTTATGTGGAGCCTTCTTAGATAGTGTAGATTATAAATTGTTCAAATCATTGCCCCCAGGGGTAGGGTGGGGCCACAATAGGAAATCAAAGTTTTGCATTGAAATATATTAGAAAAATCTTTTAATCTTCTTATCAAGTACCATTTGACCAGAAAAGCTATAAGTTAAGTGGAAGCTTTCTGAGGTAGTGTAGATTCTGAATTGTTCATATCATGGCCCACGGGGTTAGGGTGGGGCCACAATAGGGAATCAAAGTTTTAAATTGAAATATAAAGGAAAAATCTTATTTATTTTCTCAAGAACCATTGGACCAGGAAAGCTGAAACTTTTGTGGAAGCTTTCTGAGTTAGTATAGATTGTAATTTATTCATATCAAGGCCCAGGGGATAGGATGGGGTCATAAAAGGCATTATATAGGGAAAAATCTTTGAAACTTCTCAAATGCATGATGATTCATATTAATTTGGAAGCATCCTCTGGTAGTGTAGATACATTTTTGTTCAAATCATAGTCCCTGTGTATAGAATGGGACCACAAAAGGCAATTAAATAATATAGAATACGTATATGTTGGGGGAAAATCTAATGCAGAACAGCAGGACCAAGTGACAGGTGAGCGTTGTGGACCATGGGCCTCTTGTTTACATACATTACTGACATGCTGAGAATTTTATGATGTAATGTACGAGGATAGATTACACTAGTGACATTTTGTTATATGTTACTAGGGCTGTGTATTGAGCATAATATTTCGATAGGACATGATACAATATTTTATACTGTGATATGCGATATATTGGATTCTTTGACAAGTCTATCAAAAAAGTCTTGTAAATCATTTATTGCATAAATTTGATAAAAAGTAGGTGTTTTATTACCAAATTGGAAGTTCATGTCTCACTGTCTTTACAAAGTACACTTCAAATTCAAACTTTTAATGACTGTAAAACGAACATGTTAAAGTCTAGTTGTCTTTGTATTTTTTAATAGTTATTTAAGATGTACTATCTCCTTAATTTTATTTCATTATTGATCAGTTTTAATTCAAAACAGTTTAAAATAACCTTTGGTGACTGAAATTCACAACTTTTTACAGAATTATAAGAAAAACTGCCTGCCCGATATGTATTGGAAATTATTTTTTCGATACGATGCATTCCAGAATATCGATATGTGTTGATTAATCGATATATTGACACAGCACTATATGTTACCCATTGCTAAGTGTGTTGTTAATGCTGTGGGTAACATTATACAATTATTGTCTTGGTTTGAGGGCAACATGTGTTTCATCAGACCAAAGAAGCAAACTGTTTCCCTGAGGACATTATTCCTTGCGCAAACAATTTGTTTCGAGAGGTCAACAAAATGCAATTTTCCTGAGAACACAGTCAATAAATGTTCTGTCATACCTTTTATTTATTTTTGACATTCATTTATCTTGTGTGGGCTTCCATGTAGCTGCAATAATGTAGCCCTCTCTGATTTTTTTTAATCTGATATATTCAGGAGAGGAGCCCTCCCCCCCCTCCCCCCCCCCCAAAAAAAAAAAAATTGTAGAGGGCTACCTTACTGCAGCTAGCTTCCATGATGTAAGTTTCATTTACCAGTACCCACACTGGGGTAAAACTTGGTCAATTCTGTCACTGTTGAACACCAACAAATGCAAATAAGATTTAGGTGATCCTGCCCATAGTGTGCAGGGTTTCAGATTGTTTTTTCCATTCAGATCCAATTAATTTTTTATTACTTTCTGCCACTGCAGATTTCCTCAGCCAATGACAGCCGGGTGTTAGATCTTGATCACCAGATCGCTTCATGCTATTTCTTGTTGCTGATACGCTTCCTTACAAATATTGACATGGAGTAGTGGACGAGCACATGCGCCGCCGAAGAATAAACTTCAATATTTATTGTGCAGTAAACTCTTCAGTTTTAGAACTCATTTGAATGACGTCAATAAAAGTGAAGAATCAAAAAATAAAATAAATTTAAAAAACAGAGAAAATCACACCAATTTCGGAGTACACGGCTCAGCATTAACCCTAGATTTGACACAAAGTCATCAAGCAGATCCAAAATGTACGATCCTCTCTTTGGCCTCGGGTAGTAGAGAGCTATGAGTGGACTCCGGTCTGTGCATGGCTTGAGAGAATGGGCAAGGTGGGGATTAACTACCATCACTTAAGAATCCTATAAACACATGACTTGATTGAGTTACACTTGTTCAGTATTTTATTTTTTTAGTTACTTACCTGACTTCATTTAATTATGCGTCATTGCGATAAAAGAATTTTAAAAAGAACTGTATATTTTCCACTATTAATTGGCTAGATAGAATTTTAAAAATAGGAATGTTAAAATGATAAATGTCCAATGGACCCGACACAGATTATTCTATTAACTGGCCTATAATTTTAGGAAGTTTAGGACAGAATGGCCTAAAACTTTTCTAGTAAATATGCCAGGTGTCCTATAGTTACTTATTTCAATCTGAAACCCTGAGTGTGCAGTGGCGGATTCAGGGGGGTTTGGGGGGGGGGGGGGTCGGGACCCCCCCCCCCCAATCAAAATAAAATTTTTTTTTACAAGTGTCATTTTAACAATATATTACTTAAAAAATGAGACTCTATCCAAGCTCATTGTTTTACACAGAGGTGAAATATACAGCCATGAGAAACCCCTTTCCGCTTGAGTGCACACAATACACAGGTAATCAACAGTACAGAGATCATGATAATATTCTTTCAAGAATTTTCTTCTTTCTTCAATAATTGAATGTTACTTTAGTGAACTATGTGAATAAACTGCTTTTAGAAAAAAAAATGATGAATACATCAGGGACGTATACTAGTTGTTTACATTGTGACCCGTACCAAAAAGCACATTGACAGTGTTCCTTTTGTAGATGGAAGGTACAAAGCAATTTTAAAAAGCAAAAGATCTGCAAATATATTTTTTTAAAATTACAGTTGAATGATGTTCAATAAAAAGAATTGGCCACTAAGTGGGTAAAATAAAATAGAATTAAAGAGTGCATTTATGTTACTATTGTAATTAACCCCCCCCCCCCCCCCCCCCCCCCCCCCGAATAAGCAGTAATTCCAACAATTTCCCAAAATAGTTTATATTTATTCTTCAATATGAAATATCATTATTTGTTTATATTGAAAATATAATTATATGAACAGTGTAGTCAAGTAGCTGAAAAGAGTAATTATGGTTTCTACACAGAATCTATATTTTCTAAGTGTTGGGAAATTGCACATCAAATGTATTTTGGTATTCAGAGCTCCACATGCGACACATTGGACATGCATTTTTAAATGAAGAATCGGATATTATATATCAAATTGCAACTTTTCTAATTTTATCAGATTTAACATTTTTTTTTTTTTTTAAGAAAAGTCTCATATTTTATGTTTACATGGAAGTTGAAAAATAATCCAAAAATTTAATTTTTTCTTCAAATTCTTGAAAATTTGGCTAGGTCAGTTTTGAAAATCAAGAAGAAAAACATAGCCAAAAACTAACTAATTCAATCTAAAATGCTGGAAAATGCACCATTTGGAGCCATTTTTAAAGAAAATTTCTCAGGGGAGGCCGAACCTCCACCTATGGGAGGGGGACACCCCCTCCCATGCCCTCCCCCTTCAGCCCTACGGGCCTCAAACCCCCCCACATGAACTTCTGGATCCGCCACTGGTGTGACGTAAGCATGCAGTCCAATATCTCAGCAACAGATCCAATATCTCACTCTGCAGTCAAACATCGATTTCTTTATGACCTCTCAGTAAAACATTGGAAATGTTACACTTTTTTTAGTATAGATTTATAATTAGGAATCAATTTGTAAAGGTATGACAATAAAAAAACTGCTTCAAAACCATATTTCTGGATTATTGGTCCTATATTCTTAGGCTGTTTAAAATATTTGTAAGGTTTATGTGTGTTACCAAGCTGAATTACAAAAAACAAAATTAGGGCAAATGTTGAAGATTCAATCAGTGATCAATTTTGTGTTTGTAGTGGAATTTCCACATCATTTGAGGGTAAGCATGGTAACATTCGGTACTGGGTAAAAGCGGAGATTGATAAGCCTTGGTCATTCAACCATAAAACCAAGAAAGCCTTCACTGTCATCAGTCCCATAGACATCAACCGTCCAGAGTACATGGTCAGTAACAACTAGTACTTTATTTCCACACCAATTTAATTATTTTGCTTTTGCAGAAGAATAAAAGCATGGAATGTTCAATGCAGTTAAAGTAAATTAATTGATAGGTACATGTTAAGAAAAGGGAAAATGGTGAAATCCAGATGGAGCAAAACAGGGGAAAAAATAAAATTCCACGAGCAAAGCCATTCAAACTTTTAGATACTATTTTATACCATGAAATAAGTTATGTTAGTAATATTTGCAAAAGTATTATGCATAAACTGCAGAAAAAATGATTTTGATAAATGCATGAGCAACATTTCAGATTAAGTATAACCAACTGTGGCATATACAGTATCTCTTTAGTCTCTAAGCACAAGAATTAGATTTCAAAGTATCAATCTGTCAATACATGTAATATTGTTGCAGTATAGCAGTTCTGAAGCTTTAATAGTTGTGATGTTCTTAATGACATTTATGCCCTGTTCACACGGAGAGTTTAATTCGAATTAAACGTAAGTTACTGCGAATTAAATTTGATCCATGTTCACACGGAGAATTTAATGTGAATCAGTATAATTCGAATTAGTTTACTGCACATTAAATTATTTTGCATTAGCTCCGTGTGAACGTTAAGCGAAGCTAATTCGAATTAAATTTTGACGCATGCGTAAGGGCAGAATTAAGTCACAGTCCACATGTCCATGGTCAAATATAGGTACTTGTGCTATTTTTGAGTGGAAAACAAAGGAAAATTATGTTGATCACTAAAATATGTACACAGACACTATGACATATGTCAAATTTATATCTGCTCTGCCCAACATGACGTGATTTGTAAATGACATCATAATAGCCTCACTGAAGATCCTTGTTGTAGAAATAAAATTATAATTTACATTAGTTTACTTCGCGTTAGCTGTCGTGTTAATGCAATTTAATTCGCATTAGTTTAATTCGCATCATTTTACTTCGCATTAATTTACCGCGAATTAAACTCTCCGTGTGAACAGGGCATTAGTACTGCACATGTTTTTTATATTGTGTCTTAGAACTTTGTGGAGAGCAGTGTTGAGAAGACATTATGTTGCTGGTTTTGTACATCAGGACCAGTGTCAATCACGGCACGGACAGACAGACGAGGATATTGTCCAGGTAAGATAGCTTTTGTACATCAGGACCAATGTCAATCACGGCACAGACAGACAGATGAGGATATTGCCCAGGTAAAGTAGCTTAAATATTGTATCTCAGGACCAGTGTCAATCACGGCACGGACAGACAGACGAGGATATTGCCCAGGTAAGGTAGCTTTTGTATCTCAGGGCCACTGTCAATCACGGCACGGACAGACAGACGAGGATATTGCCCAGGTAAAGTAGCTTAAATATTGTATCTCAGGACCAGTGTCAATCACGGCTCGGACAGACAGATGAGGATATTGCCCAGGTAAGGTAGCTTTTGTATCTCAGGACCAGTGTCAATCACGGCACGGACAGACAGACGAGGATATTGCCCAGGTAAGGTAGCTTTTGTATCTCAGGGCCACTGTCAATCACGGCACGGACAGACAGACGAGGATATTGCCCAGGTAAAGTAGCTTAAATATTGTATCTCAGGACCAGTGTCAATCACGGCTCGGACAGACAGATGAGGATATTGCCTAGGTAAGGTAGCTTTTGTATCTCAGGGTCAGTGTCAATCACGGCTCGGACAGACAGACGAGGATATTGCCCAGGTAAAGTAGCTTTTGTATCTCAGGGCCAGTGTTATAAGTAGAATTAAATTTTGGTCGTAGTCATAAGTTCTTTTGTAAAATGGGCCCCAGTCTATTAAATCACAGACAGACAAATCTAGGGTTCTTCTCAGCCAATCTCAGGTAAAGTAATATGAAGTATTAACTATGTACAATGTACTCAATATCCTCTTTGAAAGAACAGCCAGATCACAGGGAGTCAAGTTGTAAGCATTCCAGTTGTGTAAATTATAGTGCAAGTCATATTATGGAAATGCTCTGTTTGGCTGTAAGAAAATATAAATATGAGCATTGAAGTCTAATGGGCTTCTTGTTTAGGTATCTATAATACATGTACCTCAAAGTTTTGGTCTGACTTGAATTACATTTAAAGGCCTTATACCAGAAATACACCACTTTCCTTGTGTAATTTAAATTTAGTTTTACGTTCCGTTGATAGGTGAATCAATCCAGATTTTTGCAGAATTCAGCAATCATTCTTCCCGGACTGTGACCCCACATGCCACACTCTATCAGTCTCAAATCTTCTTTGCTGGAAATAAATCAAAACTACGGAGGACCAAGTTCTGTACCATTTCTGGTATGGGGTAAAATAATTATGCATATCTCTGTATGTTATTGTTTTATTTTGTAGTCGACTAGGTACATTAAATGTTAATTAAACAAAAATTTCACAACTTTTGAAACCAGTCTATGACTCATCTTCACTAGCCCAGGGTTTTTGGTTTATGGGGAGCAGAGTAAGGGTGATTTACTGAATTTTGTAAACGTTTAAACAAACAGCAGTAAACGAAACATTACCGTTTAAACGGGAGAACATTTTGTGCTGAATTTTTATGGTTACTTACTCATGAAACACTAGTTTAATATTCTATTCTTTCACTTTATGTAAGTTTGAGTTGTTATAACTATTTATCTGTTGGTTTTTGTAACAAAAGTGCATGAAACTCATTCACTTTCTACACTGTCACCCAATATTGCATTGATAGTTTGTTTGTTATCAGATGTAGAAAAAGCATTGTCAAATTGAACTTGCAAAGATGGCTCTTTTAATCCTGAATTAAGTATACCGCGATTTCCTGACTGTATTGAAACACTTTTCAAAGACTGATGAAAACATATTATATTTATTTAATCAAAGTAATCAAGCTTTATACTTGGAAAAAGAAAATAATATCATAATACATCGTTAGTATTAGCTACTCGGAAATCGGAATTAAATATGTTAGAGGGTGTTGGGTTTTAGATAGTTTAGCTTAATAACGTTTCCGGTATCGATTAAAACAAAAAAAAAAAAACAATTGTTTTCTTTTGTAAATATGAAATAAAACAACTTGTTTGTATTTATCTTTACTTGTGATAGACATTGATAATGACTTTCGTGTAAACTTTTACTCAATTCGTAAACGTTTAGAGCATTTAATCGAAACGTCGCTGTTTACACATGTAATCATTTTGCCCTTAGAGCAAAGTGGACCCATGGCTAGCAAAGATGTTTGTGACTCTGCAAAAATCAAATCAAATCAGGCTAGTGGAAATTTGAATTCTGAATGTATCCTACCAACAGGTGCTCCTGTGTATCCTGGTGGAGTAGGTGTATGGGAGTCTCAGGAGATAGAGATCCCAGCTGTGTCTCCAACCATCAGAAACTGCTGTATCCTGAAAGTCAAGTATTTCATTGAGGTATGCATTGCACACTACATGGCTTAATTACATAAGTACAGTAAAAGATATTTTCATCCTCTATATGTACCTGTATATAAATCAACTCCACAAAATATTTGAAAAGATAGTTATGTTATATGGACAGGGGTTTATATATGAGAATCACCATGTTTTTATTTCCTTTTTTTTTTCCTGTAAAGCTTGATACAAAAAGGACATGTATCCAAACCTTTGTACATTTTGTCCAGCTATGAAATCATGGTTTAATGCATACCTTGGATACTCCCTGAATAATATTTTATGATTAAATGACAAGGTTAATCTGAGATTAGGTTTGTTCTTCACCAATCACAATCCAAACTTGTACACATGATGCTTCAGTGATGACATGCTTCAGATGCTGCATCTGACTAGGTTTGTGTTGGTCTTGTTCCAGGCCCATCACAAGTGACATCCAAAAGATGCAGATTGTTTAAATCATGACCCCTTGGGGTAGGGTAGGGCAGAAATAGGGGATCAAAGTTTAACATGGGAATATATAGAAAAAATCTTTAAAAATCTTTTGACCAGGAACAGCAAAGCCTTTATTACCAGAAGTCATATTTATATAGAAGCATCTGCAGCTAGTGGAGATTCAAGTTTGTTTAAATCATGACCCCTGGGAGTAGGCTGGGGCCACAATGGGCAATAAAAGTTTTACACAGAAATCTTTAAAAGTCTTCTTAAGAACAGCAAAGCCATGTTATATATGGAAGTATTCTCAGGTATTGTAGATTGAAGTTTGTTCAAATCATAAATCCCTGGGGTAGGACCATAATATCTGATCAAAGTTTTACATTAAGTAAATTTACAATTAAATTCTAAATTGTTCAGATCGTGACCCCCAGGGTTTATGATGGGGCAACAATAGCTAATCATAGTTTTGAATTTAAAATATGAGAAAAGTCTTGAAAAATCTTTTTCTCAAGAACCACTGGATCAGAAAAGGTGAAATGTATGTGGAAGCTTCCAGAGGAAGTGAAGATACAACTCCTGGCCCCAGAGGTTAACCTGGAGCCATAATAGGAATCAAAATCTTGCATTAAAATATGTAAGAAAAATCTTGAAAAATCTTCTTCTAAAGAACCACTTGGCTAGAAAGGATGAAACTCAAGAGAATGTTTGTTCAAATCATGATGTCTGGGGTAGGATGGGGCCACAATATATTATTTTAATTTTATGTAGGAATTATATAGGGAAAAAATTTGCTGATAAAGAACAGAAAGGCAATAGTAATGCAGGTGAGCATGGTAGCTCTTGAGACTCTTGTTATTAACTGACATACAAAATTTGTTGATACACTATGCTTACAGGTGTCTCTCCACATCCCTGGCTCGCAGAACCTGGCTCTACAACTTCCTATTGTGATTGGCACTGTGCCTTACCGACAGGACCGACACCCACCCACCAGCTTACAGACAGGGGTGCAGCTCAGTGACATCTCTTTACTGCCAGCGCCACCACCTTACTCAGAGAGCATAGCACCACCACCTTTTGGAGGTATCAGCCGTTACTAAATTCATGTAATGGGAAAAATATATACAATGTTTTTTAAAACAGTGTTTCTTGCTAGAGTATTTTATTTGAAGCTTCAGTTCTAGCTAGAGGTAAAGAGGTAATAAAAACATTAGCAAGAGGCCCATGGGCCATGACACTCACTTGAGTCATCTTGGCCCTGTTGCTCTTCAGAACATTGGCTCCCACCCTAGCCTCTGGGGGCATGATTTGAACAAACTTTAATCTACACTACCTCAGGATGCTTGCATATAAATATGACTATGTTATTCTTTACAAGAAGTTTTTTAAAAGATTTTTTTCTTTGATCTTCTTTTTGGCCTGAGGGATCAAAAACATGCATCTACATTACCAGTGAAGATATTTGTATGTTCAAAACACTAATCATGGCCCTTTTATTCATGAAAGAAATATTTTAAAGATTTTTTTCTCTATATGTGTATAGTGTCTTCTTTGACTCCTATTATGGCCTTCCCCTTCCCCAGGGAACCATTATTTGAACAAACTTCACACAGTCATTATGGCAAAAGTTGGGCCATCACTATAGGTCTGGTGCTCTTTAACACCATTATTGTTATTCTTGCTTTTTATCTTTTTAAGCAAGTGAGAAAATGAAAGTATGATTATATACCCTTAAGATATTTCATTGAAGGTTAGGAAAAGGTCAGAATTGAATCCTGCAATGTAGAGTTTGTAATGGAAATATTTTTAGAACTGTGACAAAGAAAATAAAATTTGGGAAAAAATGCTTCACAATGGCAGACTTTGATGCTTTGTTTCATGTAAACACACATACATGTATTATAATGATATATATTTTATATTATTAAGAACTTGTCAACCGTGTCCATTTTTTAGCTCACCTCGATGAAGTCGAGATGAGCTTATGCTATACCCCCGGCGTCAGTGTTGGCGTTAGCGTCGGCATCCCGGTTAAAGTTTTTGGAGCAAGTCCCTTTCCCAAGTAACTATTAGCCCTACCTGGACCAAACTTGCATGGATGATGCATCTAGTGATGGACACTACAACACTTGCTTCGGATGCTGGATCAGACATAGATTTTCCAGATGAATGACCAGGTTAAAGTTTTTGGAGCAGATCCATTCCCAAGTAACTATTAGCCCTCCCTGGACCAAACTTGCATGGATGATGCATCTAGGGATGGACACTACCACACTTTGTGTTTGCGGTTGCTGGATCTGACCTAGATTTTCAAGATGAGTGACCAGGTTAAAGTTTTTGGAGCAGGTCCATTCCCAAGTAACTATAAACCCTACCTGGACCAAACTTGCATGGATGATGCATCTAGGGGTAGACACTACCACACTTGCTTCAATGCTGGATCTGACATAGATTTTCCAGATGAGTGACCAGGTTAAAGTTTTTGGAGCAGGTCCATTCCCAAGTAACTATAAACCCTACCTGGACCAAACTTGCATGGATGATGCATCTAGGGATGGACACTACCACACTTGCTTCGATGCTGGATCCGACCTAAATTTTCCAGATGAGTGACCAGGTTAAAGTTTTTGGAGCAGGTCCATTCCCAAGTAACTATAAACCCTACCTTGACCAAACTTGCATGAATGATGCATCTAGGGATGGACACTACCACACTTGCTTCGATGCTGGATCCGACCTAAATTTTCCAGATGAGTGACCAGGTTAAAGTTTTTGGAGCAGGTCCATTCCCAAGTAACTATAAGCCCTACCTGGACAAACTTTCATGGATGATGCATCGGACCAAACTTTCATGGATGATGCATCTAGGGATGGACACTAACCAACCTGCTTCGGATGCTGGATCTGAAATAGATTTTCTACATGAGTGAATTTTAGCCATATTATAACCAAATTAGCATGGATGATGTATCTAGGGATGGACACTACCAGACTTGCTTTGGATTCTGAATCTGATCTACATAATCCAGATGAGTGACCAGGGTAATTTTTAGCTCTTCTGAGCCAAAGGCTCAAAGAGCTAATGCTATGGCCATTTGTGCGGTGTGCGTAAACTTTTTAGAATATGGGCCATAACTCAAGAACCCCTTGGCCAATTATTGTCAAATTTGTCACAGGGTATCCTTGGCCCAAGGGCTCCCTTTTATACTAAAACTGGGGTTGTGACCCTTTAACAAGGGGAGATAATTAGGAAAATAGAAACAAAAGTACTGGTTGCTAAAAAATCTTCTTCTCAAGAACCACTGGGCAGATTATCACCAAACTTATATGAAAGGATGAGGATATGTTGTAGATTAAAATTTGCACGGGGATTTACCCTGGGGCAAAGGGCGTGGTCTCAAGGTCACTTCAAAGTTGACCAAAAATTACATTTTATTAAAATGTTGTTATTTTGCTTACTATAAGGACTAGGATCATCAAATCTTGTCAGTTGGTGCATCTAAGGACCTCATATCATGTTGACTCAAAAGTAGGTCACGGTGACCTACTTTTCAAATTTTGCGGCCATTCTTTTTCATAATGATTTAGAGGCATATTTTGAACAATTTAAGGCCTATGATCATCAAACTTTGTCAGTTGATGCATCTTGGGTCGTCAAAGTACGTCACTTAAAAAGTAGGTCACCTTGACCTACTTTTTGAATTTTATGGCTAATCTTTTTTAAAACAATTAAGGTCATTAATTTGAATACGGGGAGGCTTAGAATCATTAAATCTTGTAAGATGATGCCTCTTGGGGCCATAAAATATATTTATTAAAAAGTAGGTCACAGTGACCTACTCTTTGAACTTTGCAGGCATTCGATTTCAAAGCGTTTTAGAGGCATAATTTGGACATTTTAAGTCCTATGATCATAAAACTTTGTAAGTTGATGCATCTTGGGTCCTCAAAAAAGGTCAACTGAAAAGTAGGTCACCGTGACCTACTTTTCAATTTATATGACTATAATTAAATATTTCAGGTACTAATTGGCTTAGAATCATCAAACTTTGTCAGTTGATGCATCTTGGGTCTTCGGAGTAGGTCGACTAAAAAGTAGGTCACAGTGACCTACTTTTGAAAATTTATGGCGTAAATTAAATATTTCGGGTACCAATTGGCTTAGAATCACCAAACTTTGTCAGTTGATGCATCTTGGGTCTTCAGAGTTGATCGACTAAAAAGTAGGTCACCGTGACCTACTTTTAAATTTATATGACTATAATTAAATATTTCAGGTACTAATTGGCTTAGAATCATCAAACTTTGTCAGTTGATGCATCTTGGGTCTTCAGAGTAGGTCGACTAAAAAGTAGGTCACAGTGACCTACTTTTGAAAATTTATGGCTTTAATTAAATATTTCGGGTACTAATTGGCTTAGAATCATCAAACTTTGTCAGTTGATGCGTCTTGGGTCCTTGGAGTACAACAACTGAAAAGTAGGTCACAGTGATCTACTTTTGAAAATTTATGGCTTTAATAAAATATTTCGGGTACTAATTGGCTTAGAATCATTAAACTTTGTCAGTTGATGCGTCTTGGGTCCTCGGAGTACAACAACTGAAAAGTAGGTCACAGTGACCTACTTTTGAAATTTTATGGCTGTATTTAATATTTTCAGGAATTATTTGGCTTAGAATCGTCAAAATTTGTCAGTTGATGCATCTTTGGTCCTCGGAGTAGGTTGACTGAAAAGTAGGTCACTTTGACCTACTTTTGAAAATTTATGGCTGTAATTAAATATTTTGGGTACTTATTGGCTAGAATCATCAAACTTTGTCAGTCGATGTATCTTTGGTCCTCGGAGTACAGCAACTGAAAAGTAGGTCACAGTGACCTACTTTTGAAAATTTATGGCATTAATTAAATATTACAGGTACTAATTGGCTTAGAATCATCAAACTTTGTCAGTTGATGCATCTTGGGTCCTTGGAGTAAAACAATTGAAAAGTAGGTCACTTTGACCTACTTATAAAATTTTATGATTATAATTTTAAAAAATATTTTAGGTATTAATTGGCTTAGAATCATCAAACTTAGTTGATGGGTCCTCAGAGAATGACAAGTGATAAGTAGGTCACCATGACCAACTCTCAGGTACTAATTGGCTTAGAATCATCTTGGGTTCTCAGAGTGTGAATTGGAATTTCAAGGGTTTATGTAAATATACAGGATACTTCGAGGCTTCAAATAGAAGTGATAGGTTGTACAGTTTATCAGAAGAGCGATTCAAGGCCCATGGGCCTCTTGTTTTGGTGTAGTTATATAATATTATGGCCTGTTATGATTAAACTTGCATAGATGGTGCATCTAAGGATGAAAACTTCCAGACTTGCTTTGGATGTTAGAACTGACCAAAATTTTCTTGATTACTAAACAGGTTAAAAGTTTTTTGAGCAGGTCTATTTCCAAGTAACTACAAGTCTTACTTAAACGAAATTTGCAAGAATATTGATCTTGGGATGTACCCTAACTAGAAAAAAAATATGATGTGAAATTAGCTTACTTATAGATAACATTCGCCGAGGTGAGCTTCGTAATCTTTGATTACCTATGTTTTTTCTTTGACCTTTGATCTTACTATTTATTGTGTTTATAATTCAGTTTCAAAGAAACTATTCAAGACTTCATGAAAATTCATACACTAATACAGATTGGTCAGAGCTATTCAACCGTGTCTAACTTCCTCTCCCCAAAAAAAAAAAAAAAAAAAAAAAAAAAAAAAAAAAATCGGAGAGGGCTACATTATTGCAGCTAACCTTAACCTTCCTTGTGACCTTCACCTTACTATTCCATTTTAACCCAAATCTTGTACAAAGAAGCAAGGTACACATTTATTTTCATGTTGCATTACTTTTGAACCCTATCAGGGTTATCCCTAAGAATTGAAATAGCAGGGGACATTTAAAAAGTAGAAAGGGTTTGGGGTTCCTCCCTTGACAGTGGGCTGAGGGGAATACCAGAATAACTGGGGATTTACTTCCTTATAAACAGGGATCCCTGGCCCCTTGGTTTTAGGGACAACCCTGCCTATGGACATATTCCCATGTAAAACTTTGACACCCTGTTGTGCACCCCATTCCACTTCCAGGGGAAATTTTTAGCTCAATTCAACCAAGTCTAGATGAGTATATGATATACCCCAGCTTCTTTGTCAGCATTAAGCATCAGTGTCCTAGTTAAAGTTTTAGGAGCAAGTCCATTCCCAAGAAATTATATGCCCTTACACAGATAAGGTATCCATGGATATAACAGACTTCTTCAGATGTTGGATCTGAACTATATTTTCCATATGGATGGAATCCATGCCTGGATTATTTGTCTAGGGATGCACACTTTCAGGCTTGCTTCGGATGCTGGATATGACCTTTATTTCTAGATGAGTGGGTTTTTTATATCCCCACTCCATGCATCTGTCCATACCATACACTACAAATTTTGGTCACAGTTTTCTCAGCAACTACTGATTGCAGATGCTTGAAATTTTAGCACATTCTTTGTTTAGGCATACCATATGGTGGGATTCACTTATGTACGAATCCAATGTCAACTTCCTGTTCATCCGTGTGTCTGTCCATACCATACATAACAAATTTTGGTCGCAGTCTTCTCAGCAACTACCAGTTGCATATGCTTGAAATTCTTAGCACACTCTTTGTTTAGGCCTGCAATATGGTGGGAATCATTTTTGTACGAATCTGATGTCAACTTCTTGTTCATCCTTGTGTCTGTCCATAACTGAACTTGTGTACATTCACATCAAAGCGGGGGTATTACTAGTGAGCATTGGCTCACAGACTTCTTGTTTGTAGCAAGTCCATCACCAAGGAACTTTAAGCCCTACCTGGACCAAACTTGCACGTATGGATGATGCATCTATGGATGTAAACTAACAGACTTGCTTTGGATGCTGGATCTGACATAGATTTTCCAGATGAGTGACCAGGTTTAAGGTTTTGGAGCAAGTCCTTTACCAAGTAATTAATAGCACCATGTTGACCTAACTTGCATGAACTATCCATCTATGGATGCATGCTCAGGACTTGGTTGGAGACCGAATCTGGCCCACAATTTCTGGATGAGTGTCCAGGTAAAAGTTAATGAAGCAAGTCCATTACCAAGTAATTATAAGACCTATGTAGACTAAACATGTGTGGATGATGCATCTAGGGATGCACACTGTAGGCTTGCTACAGATGCTGGATCTGACCAAGATTTTCTGGATGATTGAATGGTACAAGTTTTAAATGCAGGTCCATTCCCATGTATTTTAAAGGTCCTACCCAGTCCAAACTTGCTTCAATGTTGCATGAAGGTATGCACACTATCAGAACATTCATTTGATGTAAGACTTGACCTTGCTGCTAGATAATATTTGTTGAGGTGAGCTTCGTAATCTTTTAATACCTATGTTTGTAAAAACTTAAATCTGAACTGAGGATACATGCACATTAATATGGCTAATCATTGCCCTGTTTTATTGAGAAGGAGATTTTTCAAAAAATGTCTTACATATTCCCATGTAAAACTTTGATCTCCTATTGTGGCCTCACCCAACCCCATGATTTGAAAAAAAAAAAACAGGAATGTATGTTTGTGTTTTAATATTACTACTCGTGGCCCTGATGTTCTTGAGAAGAGGATTTTAAAAGATGTCTTCATATATATACTCATGCTAAAAGTTGATCTTCAGTTGTGACCCCACCCCACCCCCCGGGGCCATGATTTGAACAAACTTAAATCTTTTATCTGACTAAAAGTCAGGAAGCTTTCACATAAAATTTGTCTTTTCTGGTCCAGATGTTCTAAGATTTTTTAAGAGGTTGTGGCCCTTCATATGACCAAATTTAAATCCATTTCACCCAAGGATGTTGACAAGTTTGATTGAATTTTGACTGGAGAGGTAGAAAATGTGAAAAGCTGACAGATGGACAGACAGCTAGACAGATGGCAGACAAAATGTGATCAGGAAAGCTCACTTGAGGTGTTAGTTCAGGTAAGCTAGAAAGAGGATATAATCCTTACAATAATTCCCCCAAAAATATGATGTTATGATGAAGACGTATTATGTGTACATTTAGATCCACCCACCTACCGTGAGAGTGTAGAGGGAGCTGTCAGCATACTGGACGACGACGATGACCCTGGTCAGATGGGCAGCGTGACATTTACACCTATGTATACTTATGTGTATGACTACAGGAGACCCCCAGCTTATTCTGAGGTATAAAGATACGCAGATCTTTATGTACAGACAATTGAATGAGCATATGGAACTAAAAATATCAGCATAATATGAGATGGCAATTGGATAAATTTTTGTAACCGATTAGTCATAATTTTTTTTTTCCCAATCGAGTAACGGTTAATCAAACAAATACAAATTGTTTGTAATTTTCTTGTGAATTACAGGGTTTTGGTTATATTTTTACCCCCCAAAAAATGCTAAATTTTGAATATCAGAATACAATGTACTATACTTTTTCAATCAAAGTAAAAAAGAAAAAAGGATATGAACATTATTGTTATATATTACTAATATTTTCAACTTACATTCTCTACACTATATTTGTAATTCTTATTAAAAATTGATAATTCATCAAACACTGATCGTGACAGGTGATCACAACTTATTTACAAAAAAAAAATGCTCTGGTGGCACAGAAAAATGTTTTGGGAATCACAATCCTGCTATAATTGAAAGTTATGGGAATTCCGTGCTATTGTCATATTGTCATGTCTCCAAATTGGGGGGGGGGGGGGGTTCTTCATACTTACTGACCTCCTACTCTGTTTTCTGTATGTTAGATGTAAACGAAAAATAATCATTATAAAAATAATATGGTGGTGGTGACATTTCAAGAAAACAAGATTCACAGCGATTTGAAAGATGAGAACAATAACCAAATAAAAGGATGGGGAAAAAAATAATTATCCATCTTTCCAACCTTTTAGTCAGTTAACTGGTTAACCATTGCCATCCCTATACATAATATATTTAGGAGGGTTGATCCAAGAGTGATGTCAAACTGCTATAAAATATTTAATAAATGTTATCAACAAAGTTTTACATACTGATACACCTATCTAATTTTTTTTTACCTTAAAATTTCATTCGATTATATAGAATACTTTTTTAAAATATGAAGTTTAAAACAACATTAGGTTTTGTCTATCAATCACCACATGGCAAGAATGTTACCGACTCTGTTATAACATCACTTTTCAGCACTGATTTTCAGTTCCTCTGCATATCTTTTTAACCTCTCACATGCTTGTTTTTAATTATATTTACTGCTAATTTGCTATTAACTATCTTGATTTGAGTTGTAGTATTAAAATTATTGAACCTTGTCCAAATGTTATTTTTATTTTCCATAAATCTTATGTATCATCAGATTCAAAATGAGTGCTGCATGAAGAGAAAAGTCATAACGACATCAGTAAATTCTTGCCATGTGGCGGTAGATGAGACCAAACGATCTGCTTATTTTAATATTTTATAAAGTATTGCATATATCTGAATGAAATATTAGGTCAATAGTTAATATAGTATTAGTATATGAAGATTTGATGTAAACTTTAGATTATTAAAGATTTTATGGCAGTTATAACATTATATTTTTCGATCAACCTTTGTACATATATGTTAAATTTTTGATTTTAGTGCTAAAAGTTCATGATGTAACTGTTTGTTGGTATAAATACATGTAGTTTACCTGAACCAGAAGTTCAAGTGAACTTTCTGATAAGTTGCCAGGCACAAGTATTCACAACTTATGCAATCTCCTGCAATGTCGGGCTTTTTCAGAATTTTGTTTTTCTTGATTTCAGAATGATCCCCACCCTGTTCACTGATCACCACTTTAACTGAACCAACTACAATGTCAGGACAACATGAATCTCTTTCATCAATGCTCTAAATGATATACCATAATGCTCTATGTTATGTACAATTTGTCAGAACTCTGAGGGGGCACCTGCAGCCTCTCTATTGTTGAGTTCATACACACAGATCGGAGCTTCATTGTATTGTCTTGTGCAATAGCTTTTGTCTTCATTAAACTATAATATTCCATTTATTGGTATTGATATTGCAAAAAAGTTTGGTGCTAATTTTGTAAATATTGGCATTTATAGAATGTTAGTAGTTTTTGTCAGAATTGCAATCACTTGTACAAAAATGATGAATTTCACAGATATATATATTTAATATACTGTATAAGCAGAATTTTTTGCGAGGATTCAATTTTGGTATTATTAGCGAGGGTGTTGAGATCACTAAAATTAAATACTGCTAAAAATTAATTGCATATCAATTGTAATAGCTTCTGTTGTTGCCAGTATAAAATCACTGAAATTACTTCTAAAAATATTTACCAGTTTTTAAGGATAAATCGCTAAATTTGCGTCTCGCTAAAAATTCCACTTGTGTGGTATAAGTGTTGGCTATAGTATAGCATTTTTGCAGATGAAATCTGTACTGAAACCATTTGCTATTGATATGTATTATTGTTTGTGTGATGGATGAACAAGTTTAAGTTATTGATTTTACATCTTTTTAGCTCACCTGAGCTGAAGGCTCAAGTGAGCTTTTCTCTGACCACATTTTGTCCAGCATCTGTCCATCTGTAAACTTTCAACAATTTTGACTTCTTGTCAAGAACTAATGGGCCAATTTTAACCAAACTTACCACAAAGCAACTTTGGGTGAAGGGGGTTAAAGTTTGTTCAAATAAAGGGCTACACCTTTTTTTCAAGAGGAGATTATTAAGTATTAATGAAAATTTAATGAAATTTTTCAAAAAACTTCTTCAGACCCACAGGGCCAGAAAAGATGAAACTTGTGTGAAATCTTCATCACATAGTGTAGATTCAAATTTGTTCAAATCATGGGCGATCAAAATTTTACATATTAAAAATACCTATATAGGAAAAAGTCTTTAAAAATCAGCAAAGCCATGATTAGTCGTATTTATATGGAAGAATCCTCAAGAAGTGTAGATACATAGGAAAATATAGGGAAAAAAATCTGCTGATAAAGAACAGTAGACTATTAGTGACTCAGGTGAGCAATGTGGCCCATGGGACTCATGTTAATCAAAACTTGAAGGATAATTTAGTATCGCTTGATGCTTCCTCCAGGTTGCAAATTAAGGTTGCTTGTTTGTGCCATATCTATTTCATTGTATGTCTTACATATACATGTAAACATTACATGTACATGTATTTAAATATACAAATTTAAAGGATAAAATTATTAAAGATGTACTGAATAGTAGGTGTATTAAATGTAAATGTCCTGGTTTTCATTTACTTCAGCTTTATGCACAAGCATAAAACCTGTGTAATCATGTTTGTATTGTATGTAAATCATATTTATTGTAAATTATAAATAATCCATATTATATTTACATGTATTACAATATTACAATGATGTTACACAATTCTGTGTTACTTTGACAAGTTTGTAAATTCAGAGTAATATTAAAATGAATTGTTATAACTTTTGGGGTTGGTTATTAATTAAACCTTTAAAGTTGCTTATTGATCCCATTTCACCCCCCCCCCCCCCCCCAATTAATTTATTACTTGCCCATGTAGTTATTAGTAAGACTGTCCATGTAATTATTAGCAAGACATGTCTACATACATCTTACTAAAGTCTGACTAAAGACGTAAATATATCTTGCAGCCAAAAAGCTAATGTAATACTTCATGACGACACATACATGATATGTATTAATTCTGAGATGTGCTTTCCTTATTCAAGTTTAAAACCTAAATACAAAGTGCACAATTATACCAAAGAAATCTGCAGAATTTACCATTTCATAATGTGCGAAGGAAAATAGGTTAACCATGTTAAATGTTTAGTAGATACTTTGTCACAGAATATAATCTTTTTCTAGGTTTAAATGTGTCATTTGAACTAACACTGTATGAAAACCATTGCTGTATCAATATTCGATATGTATCAATATTTAAGAATGTATCGTATCGAAAAAATAACATCCAATACGTATCGGACAGGCAGATTTCCTAATATCTCTGTGAAAAAGTTGGGAATTTCAATCACCAAAGGTTACATTTTCACTGTTTTGAGTTAAAATCGATCAATAATGATATAATCATTAAGGAGATAGCACATCTTAGATAAACATTAGCAAATACATAGACAACTTCATTTTAACATGTTGATTTCACAGTCATTCAGTCATTAAAAGTTTGAATTTGAAGTGCAATTGTGAAGACAGACAAGAACTTCGAAATGGGTTATAAAACACTCGGACTTTATACAACTCGTACATTAAATGATTTATATGACTTTTTTGATAGACTTGTTAAAGAATCCAATATATCGGATATCGCATTAGAAAATATTGTATGGTATCGTATCGAATTTTTTTTGATCAACACACAGCCCTAATGAAAACCTTGGACCTGAATCATTGATGCTGCATGTGGAATCCTGTGCACAAAAATGCAAAACAACAAACTGGACTGTAAATTGTTTTATCTACCAAACCTATTACATATTTTTACAGAATTGCATGCTCGATGAGATGCTAGATAGTCAAGTCTGACTTGCTGCCATTTTAGCTAGTCTCCTAAGTCTATAAATAGTCTATATATGCACTGCCGATGGACAAACATCAAGTGACCTGACTCTGCAGTTGTTCTGTCCAGTCCTCCCCTGCATCTTCCTCTGCACTCGTGCATTCCTCCAGGTTTTGGTAGCAGCCTTGTTTGGCTCTGATCAAGTCTCCCCATAGAACAACTGCTTTACACATTGGACATTTCCCATCCACTGGGATTAGCTCCCCTGGCTGGTTTGTGAGAAATCTCTTGGCAAGGCAGATTATGTGGGCCTGCATTGAACATTGTGGATGAATGCACTTAAGTATAGTATCATTGTCCTTCATTCGTTGTCTACAAATACTACATCGGATATGTTTTTCATTTCTCTTTAAAAGACTTAAGAATTCTTCATCATTTTCTAGTTGTAGTTCCTCTGACACTTCAGGTTTGCTTTTGCTGCTATTTGAAGCATTCTTTTTTATCCTAACTGGACCATAAGCTATTGGCATGTGTGCTGGTGGACTGAATTCTAAAGGAAAGTCTTGTTTGTATTGTTGTTTTAACCATCTGATGGTAAGGGAAAACCTGCACCAGGGGCAAGTGTTTAACATGACGGAAACAATCCGAAATCTGTATTGAAACTGGTTCTCCTTCTTGGTTTTTGCTGGCAAATGTTTTAACCTTCTGGACTTCTTTGGATTTTGCCACGCCCATTCGAACCGTAAGGCTGATATTTCATTAGGGAACCCGTGGATGATGAGCACCATTTCCCAGGGTCCGCGGCCATGAGTTCTCCATGCACCGCCTGCCTGTTTACCTTTGTTGTGTTGCTGAATTCTTCTGTTAGGGTTCACTGTAAATCCAATATAAGTCCGCCCTTTGAATTGTGGGTTAACATTATACAATAAATACACACCAAAAAACTGCTCTATTTCTGCAGAAGCGTTCATCTCGGTGGTTAGTTTATAGCGAAATCATTGTTTACATTGTCCATTGCCCCATGTGTTACGCTTTGAACTTTAACTTTAATCATGTTTAGTGGTCCGGAACTCCTTGGTTCTTTCCCCAAGTTATATACAGAACTAGCCATTCGCATCATCTCGTTTTTTTTTTTAGCACTGGTTCTCTGCCCTTGATTCCAGTCGCTGCCGCTAGGAATTACGCTTGCGCCCGTTAACCAATGTCAGGGTACCAGTCTATTTTTTTTTTCATTTTTCCGCTTGTCGGTTTCGATTGCAGAACTAAACTGCATAAAGGACAATTACAACATAAATAAGACTCTTTGGATAATTATTCATATCTTGAAAAATTATTTTGTGTGTAAGTAATTTGTATAAAATCTTTTGCAAATACACCTTGTTAATTTGTTTCATATTTCTCCCCATTCAGAATCATAGGTTCCATGGTGTAGTGGTTATCACGTCTGCTTAACACGCAGAAGGTCGCGAGTTCGAGCCTCGCTGGAACCTCACTTTTTTTTTTTTTTTTTTTTTTTTTTTTTTTTGGCACTTTCTTGCAGCTTAGTTTGATCCATCCGTCTATCTGTTTGCCTTAAAACAATATAACTTTAAACGGATGATAGATTTACAATAAATGTTTAAATATCATCTTTATTCAATTTCAATTTATTTATTGACAACAGCATCATACATTGGCACATAGTCATGAATACAACAAACAATGAACATACATAAAGAAAAACATCCATGTGAGCATATCAGTTATGTTGAAGTTTTTCTTTTCTAATATCAAAGTACTTTTTCAGAAAGTTACATACTCCTCTAGCAATTTTAATACTTGGAGGGTTGATAATGTCAATGATTAATAGGGTTTTCCTTCATGTAACATTGAGCATTATTGTAAAACTAGAACAAAAGTTACATTTATTTTTCATTTTTCAATAAAAAAGATTACAAGAATGACGTACACGTATCTCCCCATTTCAATATGTAGTTTACAAAAAGCATTACCATAAGTCAAGTCTCAAGCATGTGAACTGTTTTGTGATAAATTATGCAAAAGTATGTACTTTCATATGTGTATGATATAAATATGTTTGCATATATATGATACACCCACACACCCTCACCCACCCACCCACCCACACCCACACACAGATATATATATATATATATATATATATATATATATATATATATATATATATATATATATATATATATATATATATATATATATATATATATATATATATATATATATATTATATATATATAAACAAATATGTTTTATATGTGCAGAATTTATGTATATGTGTAAAAACTATCAGGTTTATTCCTCCCTTTTTTATGTCTTTCTCCTATCAATCAATCAATTTTAAGTGGACGCATCCAACAAGTTCTATTAGAGGGAAAAACATCAGGTACAGCTGCAGTAAAATCTGGAGTACCGCAGGGGAGTGCCCTTGGACCACTCCTATTCCTTCTGTTTATTAATGATCTGCCAGAGTATGTATCCAAAAATTCAACTGTCCGCCTATTTGCAGATGACTGTGCTCTATATAGAGACATCAAAAATGAGGATGATGCCATACAGCTCCAGAAAGACCTAGATGGACTTCAGAGATGGGAGGACGAATGGATGATGGAATTTCATCCTGGCAAATGTCAGGTCTTACATGTTACCAACAAAAGGAAGGTGGTCAATGTACCATATGTTATCCACGGTCATGTCCTCGAGGTAGTAGAAACAGCTAAATACCTTGGAATCCACCTTCATCAAGGCCTGAAGTGGAACCACCAGATTGACACCATTGCAAAGAAGGCCAATTCCACCGTTGCCTTTCTGAGACGCAATCTACACCAGTGTCCATCAGAAACAAAGGCCCTATGCTATCAGACCTTAGTCAGGCCCATCTTGGAATACGGGAGCAACATCTGGGATCCTTACACCAAGGACAGCATTGGCAAACTGGAGATGGTCCAAAGACGAGCTGCCCGCATGGTAACATCCGACTATAGGACAACTAGCAGCGTATCGGACATATTGAAACAGCTGAGTTGGACATCTCTACAGGAGCGACGTGATCAAGCAAAAGCTTTTATGATGTAACGTATAGTGTACCAGCTCATCGACATTCCACCACTCCTCCTGTTTCCAGCCACTACAACCCGAGGAAACAGCATGATGTTCCTGGCTCCTTATGCCAGAACCTTAGTGTACCAGAAGTCATTTTTCCCAGATGGTATTCGAGTGTGGAACTCTCTACCAACATCCTTGGTTACCACCACCTCCCTAGATAGCTTCAAATCGAAGCTATCTAGCCACATCATCCGACCGTAAACCAACCAATCTATTTTAGGTTGAGGCTATCTGGTACCGCTTGCAGGGTGGCTGGCAGGAGTTATCTCTCCATAAGTGCGTACGAGTTATCTCGCCTTACAACGGTGATTACCATGGATTTGTACCCTTATCAAAAAGTTCCACATCAATCGTTTTCTAGAAAGGTTAATGTTTATTTATATGTAAAAAGTAATAATTAAGAGAGAGAGAAAGGGAAAGAGAAATTTATGTTTTCAAATTGTTGATCTTAAGACCTTGTGAACTGGGGGTGGCAAGGGGGTCGTCACAATAATTTTAACATTTATGATTAGAAAATGGAAACAAAGGTGTTTAACAGAGCTGTGCCCCCCCCCCCCCTCCCCACAAACATATATACACGACGAAGTTTATTTATTTAAATATTTAATTATTTAATTTATTTATTTATTTACAATGTATTTAATTCATATATTTTGGCTTCTAACAGGAATTTCTCTTTGGTTGTGTCCCCAAACTTTTTAATTAATATTGCCTAGAGAGCACAGTCCTGGATCAATGGAGAGCCGCGATTCCCAGACCAATAAATATCTAACCTCCCTCCTCCCCCCCCCCCCACACACACACACAGAAACACCCGCCTGATGCATGATGTGAAATTTTATGAACAGGATGCGTCTTGATATAAAATGCATTACCAAAAAAATGTACATAGTTTAACGGTATAATTCTATGTATGATATTCCTATTTTAGAATTTATAGATTTTTGCTGATACAAACAAAAACTTTCATTCTAACTGATCGATATTTTTCAGTGAATAATTCTTCATTTCTTTTTTTAATGCTTTGGCACCATTAGTCATTATCAAATGCATATAAAAAAAAACTAAGAGACATATAGACAAAAACATCGATTTATTTCATATCATTCGATATATTGGTGGTAAAGAGTGCTTGTGAAAGCAGAGAATGATTTAATGATCAGAGAGCGACAACTATCGATTACATTCCGGCATCAATATATTCAAACTTTTGCACGCAGTAACTGGGTTAATGATACACTATATCCAAATAATTTAAATGCTTCAACTACATGTATTTATAAATTTGGCACTCTGAGAAATGTGGCCAAACATGAGAAGATTGTTTTGAAAAATTCAGACATAACTAAGCAATCAACCCCTCATGCATTCTACTGAAATTAAAACAAAACATTAAGTAGGAAAAAAGTATCGAGAACTGAATAATTTTGAGGGTGATTTGGAAACAAATATTCGAACGGTATAATAAATATGCAAAAAACAAACAAAAAATAGGATAAGACATTTACGCCATATGATACAAAGATAAAGCACTCTACCTCTAACTGATACCAGAATATGATGCTACCTACCTCTAACAGGTACCAGATTTTAAAGATACCTACCTCTAACCGGTACCAGATTTCAAAGCTACCTACCGCTAACAGGTACCAGATTTCAAAGCTACCTACCTCTAACAGGTACCAGATTTTAAAGATACCTACCTCTAATCAGTACCAGATTTCAAAGCTACCTACCTCTAACAGGTACCAGATTTCAAAGATACCTACCGCTTATAGGTACCAGATTTTAAAGCTACCTACCGCTAACAGGTACCAGATATTAAAGCTACCTACCGCTAACAGTTACCAGTTTTCAAAGGTACCTACCTCTAACAGGTATCAGATTTCAAAGCTACCTGTCTCTAACAGGTACCAGATTTCAAAGCTACCTACCGCTAACAGGTACCAGATTTCAAAGCTACCTACCTCTAACAGGTACCAGATTTTCAAGCTACCTACCTCTAACCCGGAACCAGATTTCAAAGATACCTACCTCTAACAGCTACCAGATTTTAAAGTTACCTACCGCTAACAGGTACCAGATTTCAAAGCTACCTACCGCTAACAGGTACCAGATTTTAAAGCTACCTACCTCTAACAGGTACCAGATTTCAAAGATACCTACCGCTAACAGGTACCAGATTTTAAAGCTACCTACCTCTAACAGGTACCAGATTTCAAAGATACCTACCTCTAACAGGTACCAGATTTCAAAGCTACCTACCGCTTACAGGTACCAGATTTTAAAGCTACCTACCGCTAACAGGTACCAGATTTCAAACCTACCTACCGCTAACAGGTACCAGATTTCAAAGCTATCAACCTCTAACAGGTACCAGATATTAAAGCTACCTACCGCTCACAGGTACCAGTTTTCAAAGCTACCTACCTCTAACAGGTACCAGGTTTCAAAGCTACCTGTCTCTAACAGGTACCAGTTTTCAAAGCTACCTACCTCTAACAGGTACCAGGTTTCAAAGCTACCTGTCTCTAACAGGTACCAGTTTTCAAAGCTACCTACCTCTAACAGGTACCAGATTTTAAAGATACCTACCTCTAACCGGTACCAGATTTCAAAGCTACCTACCGCTAACAGGTACCAGATTTCAAAGCTGCCTACCTCTAACAGGTACCAGATTTTAAAGATACCTACCTCTAATCGGTACCAGATTTCAAAGCTACCTACCTCTAACAGGTACCAGATTTCAAAGCTACCTACCGCTTATAGGTACCAGATTTTAAAGCTACCTACCGCTAACAGGTACCAGATATTAAAGCTACCTACCGCTAACAGTTACCAGTTTTCAAAGGTACCTACCTCTAACAGGTATCAGATTTCAAAGCTACCTGTCTCTAACAGGTAC